TTTTTTTTTTTTTTTTTTTTTTTTTTTTTTTTTTTTTTTTTTTTTTTTTTTTTTTTTCTATCCACCGTGATATTTTTGAAATAGCGCAACATAATTAAAGTTTTCTTTTCAAGAGTCCTGTGTCAAAGAGGAGAAAAGAGTTGTTGCCCAAGAATTTTTTTTTTCTCTTCCACTTCCGAAACTCAAACTGTTTCGAGTTTTGTAAGCTTTTAATGATGAAATAACCACTCGGGTAAAGTTTTCCTCCTCGAAACTCATCGAAACTGAGAATTTGACCTTTGAAGTACAAGCATATTAAGAAATTACATTCAAATACGCTGATGCTGTGGAGTTTAATTTTACTTTCAAGTGCAAATAATTAAAGTTAAAAACTGTACACTTAATAAGCTATAAAATAAGCAAACGCAGCATTTTTATGTATTTTTGATTGAATCGAAATTTTAGCACTGGCTAACAAAGACGGCAACTTCTCGATTTTTTTATGTGTAATCTCGGCTTTTATGACGAGTCTCGCAAAATTGATGATTGGGCATAATAAATGAGTTTTTTTTATACAGTATGCTATTTTTTAAGTTTTCCACGAACCACAATAGAGTTAAAATTTTGGGATGTCACGTCCAAATTATACTCCATTATCTACTTTGAGCTTCGCAAATTTACATTTTTCATCCCGGTGGGTATTAACGCATGCTTTATTATGACCAAGCGGGCTTTTTTTACTGGTCACCGAAAACTGTGCTTAATTTTGATTCTACTTCTGTAAAATAGAAAAAAGTGACGAGAAAGATGTACAAAAAATTCCAAAGCTTCTCCACACCCAAGTTGTCATCCTTGCTTGCAATGTGTTTTATTAATTGAAAAATTTTATATTTTTAATCGAGTCATTTCAGTTGAGGTTTTCATGTTTACTGTCATCTAATTTCATCTTCTCACACGTTACTTGCGTATGGATTTTAGTTAACTATATCACTGTCGGCGTACATTTGCAATTGCATGATTCAATAGCATCGGGTTCGAGTGTCCATTAATATGGTACGTACTAATAACAATAAATAAATATCGGAAAAAAATCTGTTTCATTGGTAGATGTAACATATATTAGTACCTTACCGATGATGGATCGATCCACTGCCAAATTTTAAGCGAGTCCAAACAACTTTATGAATAAAAAAAAAAGGACAAATAACGGCTCGTTGTGATTGACAATGAATAAAAAAAAACGGGTTATTTAAAAATGTTTTGTGAAACAAAACGAAATAATGGAGAAAAAAAAAATACACATCCGATTCCCGATAATCAGTCGCGTCACGTAGGCAGATGAGTAAGCAACAAACGTGGTTACCGGTGATACGGTGCTGCTTGTACTTTTGATGCGCCACTATGCATTTAAACCACGTACATTATATTACCGAACGTGTGGAGTTTTTAAATTCAAAATTAATGACCCTCGCACGGCGCCTCTCTCTCGACCCGCCGCCTGTAGCACACCGCGGGAGTTCTTGCGATTGATTTTTACGCGGCTGCGAGGCTTTGACGATTTATAGGCATCCCGAAGATGATATTCATTTCGTGGGGCTCCTGTTTCTTCCGTTTCGAGGGAAAATTTATACACGCCCGGTACAGGTGGAAACTTTTCTCTACTGTTTTATTTCGAAGCTCAGGGAGTATGTACATTTTATGGGAAATCAGATTTATTTCCGACGCTCATGAATATAAACACATGGAAACGTGTTCGTTTCCATTGTATAATGAAATTAAATTGATGGTAATTTTACTTCTTTCTTGTTACCGAAAAATCTAAATAAAACCATTGATCTAAGGAATCATTAAACTTGTGTTACTTAAAAAAAAAAAAAATTACCTTGCTGGATTATAAATGAAAAAAAGATCTTGATTTTACTTTCATAAATTCACACAAGAATCGCGCAATTCGATTAATTTTATTTTTTTGTTAAAAAAAAAATCCTGTATGCACGATGAAAATAACAATCATTCCAATATTCATCTCAATAAATATAGTAACATCAACGTTAATTAAAAATCGACTAGTGACAAATTAAGATTTTTTCCTTTCATCATTAATTATTAGATATGAACTGTAAAATTCTCTCTTGAAATTTAAAAGAGCTATATAATAACAAGTCTTAATGTGGAACATTTCAACGAATACTAGTAGTACAACGCAAAAAAAGCAGCTCGGAATTTTAATAGCCAAAAAAGGAGAAGCAATAAATCACCCAGGATTTGGGAGCTGGCTGTAAAAAAATAGTATTAAAAAACGGCGAGAAGTGTAAACAGGATTCGAAAGTTTTTTTTTGCTCCGTGAAAGTAGACAGCCGGAAGTACGACGAATTTCCACCCAATAAGTCAAACGAGAAATATCGTGACGGCTGCTTGAGAACACTGAGAGAGAAAAAAAAAAGACCCTACAAAGTGGAAGCCAAGGCAGGAAAGGCGAAAAACGAAGAAGCCGACTTGTCTCGTACGTTTCCGCTGAAAAGGAAGTAGAGAAAAAAAAATCAAGGTGAGCTTAAGTAGCAGAGGGACGTTCTCGACTTGGTAATTCCTTTTGCTCGTATTTTCGATATTTTCTGATTTCATTTTCTTCTCATTACCTCTTTATTCCAAGGGCACTGTGTAAAAAATAATCGCCATTCCATGCGAAATAACTGCTAATTTCTCTGCTCTCCTTGATATTTATCCGCGCAGAGCATTTCTCACCAGCCAGTGTTGTTTGGCAGCCACGAAAGAGTTCATTAAAACACGAGAACGTGCAGTCGTTAATTATTTTTTTTTTTTTTCTCCATTTTTATTAACTTCCTTTTATACACGATTTTTTTTGCTTTTCTCCATTTTCACTTCTTTCGTCTTATTTATCGATATTTTTCATCAGGTACGCTCAGCTACCACTACGCTCTTCCTTTTCTCTTTTCGTTGCACTGCTAGTGCGAGGAGAAAAGGACGAGAAAAATTCGCGACTTGCATATTAAGTACGGCAAATATAAGAAAAAAGAAACTTTCAAGTCTTAATTCAAGACTATTTATCCCAAAATTTCTAACGTTTAAAAGTACTTTTTTCTTTAATTACAAGTTTCAATTGATTGTAAATATTTTTATTTACACATTTACCTATATTTTAATACAATATAACATCATCTATCTCGATGAAGGAGATTAGGGTTTGCATTGAAAGTGTTTAAACTCATTTTTTAAATGTTTTTTTAGATTTTTTTTTATCTTTACTCTTTAAAGTAATAATATAACAAACGTCGTGGGTTACTAATATAGAGCTTTTCGAAGTATGTATATGACAAACGGTCGATGTAAGAAGTATAACGTATTGTAAATCGATGACTGTTTTTCAATTTTTTTCTTTCTTTCTTTTTTTTTCTTACCTAAAATGTTTAGTTATCATATGTTCCTTTATTCTGTAAATTACACTTCCATCTTTTATTTTTCATTATTCTCTTAACGGTAGTATAATGTGTTCTTTGTCTTAATTTCGAGATCCAGACCTCGTATCGCACTGACTAAAAACGCACGGGAAGGAATTAGTCCACAAACACGAAATTTTTTCTTTTGTTTTTACTGTCAGAGAAAAAAATACATCGCAAACCTACTCGCAATACGACTCGATCATTGTGAAAAGAAAGAGTACATTTTTGTAGACTTCTAGATTTTTTAAATTACACGTTGAAGGGCAAGAGTCTAAAGTACATCTACGTCTACACGAAACCTCTCTTCCGTTCAACTTTTATCCGCTTTACTTCGGTCGGTTTTTTTTCTTTTTTTCTTTTTTTTGTTTTTTTTTCATCTTTTCATTCTTTTATCGCACAAGCACGTGAGCGCTAACCGTGCTGTATAAAAATTATAAAACAAAGTTTTAAAAATTTATCACCTAGAGGAAAAAGTATATTAATCATTGAAATCGCACGAAGTATTTCGGTCACAGCTTATGATAAGTCGTCGATGTTAAATTGTGGGCCTCCTCTAGGCCGTCTCGATCATTATTATGAATCGCGTGTTGACAAGGAAAAAAAATTAAAACAAGAGGACGACGCACGGTGTCTCTCTTGAAACTGCTTTTTTGGTTTACATCGCTTATAATTAAACAATAATTATTTAATACAAACAAACAACTCTTTGTTTAAGAAAAAAAAAACCAAAAGCAGCCAAGAGTTACATTTGTTTTCGATTTCCTCTCCCTATTCTTAACTTGATACATAAATAACTTTAACTGCGAGTTTATTTGCAAACAGCAAAGAGTGTGTGTGTGTGTGTCTGCAGTTTTTTCCCTAATTTTTTTTTCTTTCAAGTATGTTATACGAATTAGTGTCTTATTGCATAATAAATGTTTCAACAACATGATGTTTTGAAAGACGAAACCGTCGATAGCAGCAACGGGAGTAGCAGTAGCAGCAACTGTAGCAAGGTTAGAGGTGACTGAAGAATTGAGGTGGCGGTCGTGGTTGAAATATTTCTTCTTTTTATTTTTAATTCCATCTCTTTGTTCTATTATTTAGCGGTGGTCGATATTTTAGGTGGTCATGTAATCGCTTGAGACTCGTTTATCCCAGCGAGGGGAAGTCATGCTCATCATCGACCTTAGGAGCGTTTTGGCGTTCACGTGGTGATCTTTGCTCCTGCTGTTAATGAGTGAAAAAAAAAAAAAAACACAAAACAAAACAGTTAAAAATTAAGTTACGTAATTGTGATTGATGATAGAACTTTAACTTGATTACAGCATCGAGTAACATATTTTGTTTACGTAACGTTTAAATTCACCGAATTATGATCAGTTAAATCAGATCTCACTACGACGGTGTAATTAATTGTAAGTTTAGAAGATACTTACGTTGCGGAAGCCGCCTTCGCCGCTATCACGGTTATCGCGGCCTTCGCGAGGTGGCCCACCACCGCGTCCGCCAAAGCCACGTCCGTTCATGCGGTTGCCTCCGCGTCCGCCACGTCCACCACGTCCACCGCCACTGCGTCTCGAATCATTAAAATTAATCTCGATATCAAGCACGTGTTTCTGGCGCCCAACGCGTTGCGGGTACTCAGCAGCATCGTACTCCTCTTCCTCCTCATCTTCGTCATCAGCTCCTTCCTTCTTACGCTCAAGAGCGTACATCTTCTTCCAGCGCGACAGGTCCTCGCCCTCACCTGCCTTGCGCAGGTTGTAAGTAGGCTTGACGCGGTTGGTTTGGCGAAGAGCCTTCCATTCATCAAGGGTTAGCTCGCGCGCCTCTTCCTCGGCAGGTTTCTCTTCGGCTACCGGGGCAATGCCATCGCCAGCCGGAGCTTCAATGCCGCTCACATTAGGACTCCCAGAGTTCTCTTTGTTTTCATTGACAATGCTGTTGTCGACAGTAGCATCCACTACTGCGAGCGTGGGGGTGCCCCAGTCGTCGGATTGATTCATGGCATCTCTGAAAATACAATGAATAATAGTCTTTGAGTTGGGGATTCTGAAATGTACGGTATTGAAATTAACTTTGATTTCAATGACAACGTAAATAATAACTTGAGCAGCCGTAGCACGGGACGGCTGTACTAATTTTTATTTACTTATAAAACACTATCAAACTTGGATCACACTATCAACTATTGCATTAAATTATCAAAATTTACTCAACATTAATGGATAAAACAACATTTTTGAGAGCATCATGAAGTAATGAAAAATTAATATTCAACGCGTGTGCCAGAATATGAATCAGAGTGGGATTTTACATTAAATTATCATTTACATGAACTGCATTATGAAAAAAGCAAGCCATCTCGATTAGAATGTGACACAACAGTTAGAAGCTTAGTTACTAGATATAAAAAAAAAAAAAAAAAAAAAAAAAAAAAAAAAAAAAAAATTAAAAGGCGTAAAATCTTACTCAATATCATCATTATGATTTCCCCAGTTGTGGCTGCCAGCGCCATCCTTCTTATCAATGGGTTTGACTCCGCTGTAACCATACCTACTTACATTATTACATGCAGTGCACTAAATTGCTCGCGTTTAAAGAGCTTTAGCAAAAAAAAAAAAAAAAAAAAAAAAAGATTTTTGTGCTTCTTCCTTGTGAGTTGAAAAAAAATAAAAAACTAATCAAAGCGCGAATGACTGAAAGAAAAGTAAGCCACTATATCAAATCACAAATCATGCAATCAATTTTTTTTAATCAAGGCTAAAGTTCTTACCTTGGTTGCCTGATTTCGTATGCAAGAAAAGGAAAGCACAACATTGAGTCAATTAACTTATTTGTATTTATGTCAGCAAAGCATTTCCATTACCATTGATAATAATCAAAATACTCAAGTATTTCCAATAGATTCGTAGCGAGATAAGTTTAAGCTGATAATAAGCTGTATGATTCCAATTAAAAAAAAAAATTACGATTTTGATAGTTTAGTGTGGAAAAGATAATTTGCTTTATTTAGTAATGACGTGATAAATAATTTATTTCTCATTCTACCATTTGAAAGGTGTAACAAGAAAGTGTTATTGTGGTGAGCCGTTTATGCAGGTTAAGTATTAGACATATACAAAGCTAACATGATCAATACTTTTATCAACTAAAAACGGATATGACATTCGTTACTGTACCGATAAAAATTGTTGGAAAATATTATATGCAGAATCGTTGAATGTAGTTGAAAGACATAAGATATCTTAGTGGAATCTTAACATTGCAGTCAAGGTAAATAACCCGAAAATAAATGCAACTCATCTCTTTTCGCATTGTGCGCGTGTAACGCAATTAGCTCGAAAAAATACGACAAATCAAAGCGAAAAGATTGATTGAAAATAATTGAAATAGAATGTACTTTTCAATGGTAAAAGCATGCTTTTTACATTGGATTAAAATGTATGATTACGAAACTCAAAAATCCAAAAGAAGCTCTTCAAAATTAAATTGAGACGAAAAATAAAAATATATATACACCGGTTATTAAGCGGAATACGTACGTCTTATCAGAGCCTGATTGGCGGTCGTACTCGCGTTTGCCGCGACTATCAAAGCCACCACCGCGACCACCACGGAAACCTCCTCCGCGTCCACCGCGGTAGCCGCCACGTTCTCCACCCCCACCCCCACGTTCTCCGCCACCGCGACCACCACCTTCTCGCGGTGGACCTCGCGGACGGCGATCACCATCCATACCACCGGTACCACTGATGTTGGAATTGCGGTACTCTCGTGAACCTTGGTAAGGGTAATCGCGTTGTTCACGCTGCTCGCTAGAAAAAAAGGTTGTTAGATTTTGTAGAACTCATAATTTAAATGTGTATAATTAATATATTGTACCATCTAACTGATACAACACATTTTTTGGATAAAAAAAAGAGCAATGAAAAAAGTAGTCACACAATGTATTTAAATGTGTTGCTCATGACGAGAGAATCGATATAATCGACCCTTTTTTGTTCATTAAAATATTTCAATTGATATAATGACACTTTAATGATGCACTGTCCTTAGTGCGTTTTGCCTAAGTTAATTTTGATGGATTAGTAATTTTTGAAGTTTGGTGCGAAATTTCACACATAGGTACTTAAATAAATACAAAAATTTTACAATTTGAGTTAGAGATGATATAATAGTTGAATCTAATAAAAAAATTTATACAAACTCGATGTACTACAACACCGATGTTATGCAGTGCTGACCGAAATAGCACAACTTAGAATTACAAATATCAAGAGTTCAACGTGTGTGAGACAAGTTCAGAGCATGCCTCAGCATATTTGGACTGAAACGCTCGAAACCAGTGTAACATTGATGGAAGCGAGCAACAGCAATGCATGACGCGACGATCGAGTGTCCCAAAACTTACCCAGGTGGTCCTCGCTTGAAGTCATTCTGAGCACGGGGTGGCCGTTCACCATCCTCGCGATTGCGCCTGTTGGTATGATCCTCTCGGTTCTCGGAAGCAAACTTTACATTGCGCTCACCACCGCCGAACTTTTGTTGGCCGGGCTTCTTGTCGCCTGAAATTAATACTCTTGTTAATTCATGACAAAGTTATTCTCCATCGTGTACATGTATGTACAAGACGCGTTTACACATACTGCAAGCATCAAAAACGCGGAGCCCAAAACACACATAGATAATAAATAGTCGGGTTGTCTAAAAGTAGACTAATTCCAAAAATGAAACTAGGGGAGAGCCCTGTGCGAGAACACGGGCAAAAGATCGAGACAGTAGAGAAACACGCGCGAGAGAGGGAGAGAGAAAGAGATAGAGAGGAAGTCCAAAAGTAGCAGCTCTAAAGTGTCTCCAGAGTGTCACACGATTTCTTTGCCTTTTATTTTTCCTCCTCCGCTCATATGTTTGAGACGACGGCTCAGCTTCTTTTATGAATTCCCTAAGCAATATTTTTATCCTGTGCACACGCCGGCGGACCTATTCTTTCTCTCTCTCTCACTTTTCGCAAAGTGTGTGCGAGCGAGCTTCTATACCAGCGGACATGTTGTCGAGTCCCTAACCCCGGCATGCCAATGTGCACGCACGACTCCAAAACCTCGTGCAATTTACCCGTAACTTAACCCCTTAAGAATAATAATTTGTCAGCTCTTTTGTGACCAGAGAACAGGTACACTAAAACACCTTAGTTGGGCATTATTACGCTCTTGCGAGGAAAGAGTGGGATCACGGAGCCGGCTTTTTTAGGCCTCGTGGGTAAAATAAGATAGAGAGTAATGTGTTGGAGCGCGCGAGAGAAAAAACACGCGTGTAAATAGGGACGAAGAGCGCGCGCGCGCGCGCACACGCGAATCTTGAAAAATGGCTCAGCCGATGTCGGGGGAGAGAGGGAGAGCACGAGGCCAAAGCGAAATGATGTCCAGGAGGCCGGCCAGGTGACGAGGTCAATCTACACTACGTGGGGGAGGACAAGGGTGGGAAAGCTAATAACCCTGGAGAGGGAAGCGCACGATGGAAACCGAAATTTATGTTGGCCTTGCGACGGGGTTAATTACGTATTAACTAGAGGACAACAACACAACAACAGTAGTGGCAACGAGATCGTTGTAGGGCTCACCTTGATCCTTCTTGGCATCCTGGTTGCGAGGTTGCTGCTGCTGCTGCTGTGCCGGCGGCTGCTGCTGAGCCTGTTGCTGCAGGTTCTCCTTGTTGGTGCGCGAAGCTTTCTTGTTCGAAGGCTGCTGGGCCGCGGCAGGGGTGGTTTTGGACTCCTTCTCCTGCTTGTTCTTTTCGATGAGTTTTTCCTTGCGCCTGGCCTCTCTCTCCTTCTCGGCTCGATTCAGAATCTCGAGAGGGTCCGCGTCTTCGTCGAGAGTGTCAAGGAGAAACCTTTTCGAGACGGACACGTTGTACTCCATGGCTGCAGGTAGGAGCTAGCCACTGGTGCTGCTGTTGCTGCTACTGCTACTACTGCTTGGTCCAGCAACCTGGGCCGAGGACCGTGAGCGGATTTCTTGGCTACTCTTGAGCCCTTGTGTAATAGAGACATCCAATTCAAGTGTGATCCAATATGGCCGAGTGTGCTCCCCCAGCGCTTTGAGGTATGAACTAAACTCTGCGAAGGCTCTCGTTCGACCTGTGTGTATATGTATGTTATATGTGCAATGCGTGCGCTGAAAAGTTAATGCTTTAAAAACCTGCGCTGCAGCGAAGCACTCGAAGGCCTCAGCAGACCGAGCTCAGCTTCGAGCACGAGATGGTGCTGTCTGCCACTCGCCCACAATTTAAAATTGTCGCAGCGTTAGAAGCGTCGAATATTACACATATGTACCTACCTTATGTAAGAGATGAAATTGATTTCCCGTACATATTATGTGTCATATTTGATCGTTTACATCAAACAAATCATAATGATTATTCTCGATTAATTATTTTTTAATGATAACATTTCTTCATTTTTTATTGGCTTGAAAAAAAAAACTGCAAATCGCTTGACATTTAAATTTCCACGCGCCAAGTATGTGTCACCAGACACAACAGCGCATTCTCTGTTCAAAGAAACAGAAAACAATAAACATTCTTTGGTAAAAAAGCAAAAGAAAATCGGTCAACATTAAATATATTTACATATTCGCGTGTTGTATGTACAAGAAGCAAGCTTAGTCGATAAAACAGGCTGTAAAGCACAATCGGCACAGTGCAAGCACAGATGAGCTTTATTGTGGCCAAGCCGGGATCTATAATTATGAAGTGTCTCAACACCTGCAATTACTTGTCGCTAATTTACTTATAATGTTCCAGTAACGCTCTCCCACAACTTACCGACAACTTAATTATGTCTTACGATATCTTGCGTCATTTTTAAGTTGTCGGTAAGTTGTCAGAGAGCGCTACTGGAACACACGGTGTATTGAAAATAAATTTTTTTTCTCTTTTCATTTTATAGTGTATTGACCTTGAATGTATAATATGAACAACATACGCGGTTGTTTTACATTGGTAGTACACACAGCACAGGACAACTTTGGGAATTCGTACTTTACACCATAAAATAGCAGCTGCACTTACAGAATATTTGTATTTACGTAGGGATAGTGAATAATACTTACATTCAACCGCTTCAACGCAAAAAAAAGGAAATAAAAGGAAATAAGCAAAGAGCAAGAGAATGAAAGATGAGGGAAAAAAGAGCCGAAATAAAGCGCAAGCACGTTGTACTAAGTAGTTGCCTCATTGTAGGTAGATTAAAATTGCCGGACGCGGACGCCATTGCAGAATCCAGATCCAGAAATCCAGAATATCCTGCGCCGAGCGCCTCGCCCGCGCCGCAGCGTGTTCGACAAACTATACATTATATACCCTGTTTTGCGACTTGTGGAAGTAGAGTTGTAGAATAAATGCAGCGCCTGCGCAAACGAGTCCATTCAATAAATCTCGTTTGCCGTTGGTTCGGTCTCGGTGGTTTATACACTTTTTGGCGGTTAAAAACTTAGGTCGTCAGTAGCACGCGGCGGCTCACCCTGCCAGTTTGGAAAATCTGTGTACCCATACACAACTCCTATTTTCCGAAGCTTTTCGTTCGATTGCGCGATCGGTAATCGGTATAGCTAAATGAATAGTTAAAGTCCACCGTCGTGCGTGCTTCCATTGTTATTTACGCTAAACACAAGCGTATACTTAAACAACACTCGCTTATTGTTTACATGTTGTTTACATTTGTTCAAACGAAAGTGTTTTTAATGAAGACCCTACCCCGGCAGTTAACAACCTACGGAAAGTGGAAACTCAGTGCTGGTGTTGTTGCTCCAGATTGATCTGTTGATCAGCCGCTCCAATAGGAGACGTTTATATATTGGATCTTAATTGGCTGCAGAGAGCATCAAGATCTCTGCAGGAGTAATGAATCACGACCGATCAACGGTCAACAATCACTTATACGAGTACATCAACAATCATTCCAGGCACTCCACCCTCACGCTTGAAAACAGTAGGGGTAGTTTTGATCGTACCCACGACCAGCTACCCTCGTACGAAGAAACATTGCTGATGACGTCGGGCAACGTCGTGTTATCCGCAGGTACGACAGCTTGTGACTCGTTGCTCACTAGCTCGAACAACCAACCGGTCTGCCAGGGTGGCTTCGTCCTCGTTCCGATCGCCATGGCCGGAGGAGCCACGGCACCGCTGATCAGTATGGAATCTAGGATCCCAACGCCAGCGGTCCACTGCTCGCATCAGGTCGCCAACCTCTGGTCCGACAGTGCTGGAGCCAGTTCGGGCAGCGCTTGCTCGTCGCCCGACTACAATAGGTTAATCGTGGCAAATGGCACTGCCGGGGGGGCTGCTGCCTCGCCGACCAACCTCGGAGCTGGGGGTACCGGGATGCTCCTAAACAATAACAATCATCTCCTTTCGATTGGCGGGCTCATCGACAGTCCAATGACCAGCCCCGGCAGTCCCGGACCATCGCCGGAATACTGGAGCACACCTCGGACGGCCAGATCAGACGAGCGTGATCATCATCAAACGGATTTCGAGTTGATCTCGGACAAAAGCGCCAAGCGGCGCAACCGGAGCAGATCGAGTTCGGCAGACCTCGTGGCCGATCGCGGCGTCATAATAACTTCGCCGGAACGCAAGCAGGTATCTGGGCGCGGAATATCGCCGGCTCATGATCAACTAATCTTGACACCGTCGGCTATCAAGTCCGAGGACGAAGAGCACCAATCGCAGCGAAACAGGAAGAAACACCGGCGTGGCCGGCCAAGGGCGGACGAGCTGCCTGGACTGATGCTCGAAGGAAGCACCTCGCCATCCAGCATCAAGTGCAAGTACTGCGAGCGCGTCTTTCCGCGAGACAAGAGCCTCAAGGCCCACGAAGACCTTCACTTAGGTAAAATCGGGATGATTTTCATTCATTAACCCGAGCGTCTAAAAATGCCTACAACCGACAACGGGCCACGCGCGCTCAGAGTCCTAGTTCGCGAGAGAGAACAACATAACCTCTGTTGGTGCTCTGATCCTTTCCCCTTGCCCCCTTGCCCCATTTGTTGTGATTGCTCCGCTTTTGACTTAGCGATTGCATCGCACAATTTCCGACATGATTAGATTATAATTATCAAATCCAATGCAATCATGGCTCATCAATTGTTCGGCACTTTAGTACCAGTCATCGTTTCTCGGCACCCGGCTTTTTCTTTATTATGTTATCCGTTTGATAGTGTATCGCGCGCCGCACCACGCGTATTGCTTTTGCGTTTCCCGCCTTTTCACTCGTTCGCGTTTTTTTTTGTACCAGAACAATCGGTTATCCGTATCGTTCACGTGACCATTGCATAAAACGTCTTGATTGTTGCATCCAAAAAAACGCGACCCAAGAAATAGGTCTAGATGGTCCACGTGAAATAAAAATATAATGCCAATATCCCATCTTTCACGCTCGAGGGAAGAAAGACGGAGCAAGATCCAAGTGTGTATATACACACGCACACTCGCATATATAAATAGGTATAGGTACAGCGCGCGAAGAAAAGAAATTCCAACATGTCCGTTTGTCGGGGGCCTGCGAGCGGTTTATCCCTCGGAGCGCGTGTTTGTGCCGCCTCGCGTCCATTCCCTGGACCCCGTGCGCTCAACCCCTGATGTAAAAGTTCGCGCGTTAGCATGTACTGTACAAAAGACACGTGTGCTGCATATACTCATACACGAAAGATTCTTCAAAAAAATATCACCCCTCTTATGCATGTAATCTCGCACAGATAAATTTTTTTCATCTAATGTTTTGTATGCGTTCTTATTATTAAATGAGTTTTAATTTATTGGAAATGTCATGTGATGATTAAATAAAAATTTTGGACCATTACGACTTATGACGTCAATAATAAACTCTTCTCTCTGAATAATGTTGTCTTTCGCCGCATCTTTGGTCAATACCCAATTATATTTCTGTGCAAATAAAGTTTGTTACACTATTTACCAACTTGACAAGCACCTCTCAAAAGATCCTCGTACTTTTTTTTTATGTTTTTGACATCCAATCTACTTGTAAAATGGTATGAAGAAAAAATTGTCAAGCTTAGACTATTTCGGAGTCTGCTGATTATTTTTAAGTAAATTTTTTATGGCATTGCTCCTATATAGACAAATGTATTGTTCGTATAACGTGAGTATTCGAAGGAGAGGAGAGTCGAGCCATATCCTGCAGCAGGCACAGCCCCCGATATGTTGTTCTTTTAACTGCACGATCGGGAGAGGGACACAGAGGGGAGAGGTTCCTTTATGAAGGATCCCGAATTTTCAGCTGGCCTCTCGGCCCCTTTTTTTTCCTTCGTCCTTCTCCCTTTTTCTCTATTCTCTCTCTGTCCCCTTTCCTCCAAGCGTGTTTCTTTTTAAAACTATGTAAGTGTATACTCATACACGTTTCAGGGATTTGTGTTTTGCTGGATTTTTAAAAATTTCCTTTTGTCTCGTTTCTCCTCAGTTCTCTATATTTTGGTCCTAATTTCTAGTTTAATACATGTGTATGCATATGGATATTGCTTTTTAAATATTATCTCTAAAAACAAACAATCCAGACGTATAAATATTTTTGGTACGTTGGATGATCAATATTTTGCAACAGAGACATCATGAACAGTGTAACAAATATGTTTCAAATGGTATAACACGCAAAATATTTCTTTTAATGTTGGTCAACAATGTCAACATGTAAAAACCTTAGCAATGCGTAAGAGAGTCGAAGTACGCACGCGTGACTGACGATGCAACGAATATTATTATAAATCAACGCAGTACCTATACTAGGTAGAACAATGTCTTTCATCATTAGCATTCACTTGCATGTTTCATTCAAGCCATTGAAAATAAATGCTTGATTAAAAGAGCATATCTCTTACCCCGTATGTCAGCGAAATAAAATTATTGGGAAAGAAAATAAAGTACGGAATTATATTATCGAACGAACAAAAACGTATAATTTAGAGCAACAGTTGAGACCGAGTCCTCAGAAAAGACCGAGCGGGGCGGTGTACAAAGGGGAGAAGGGTAGGTAGTGTGCGTTTGCCGGCTGCAGCGTGACGCGCTTCTTTGTTACCCTTGTGTGCTTTATAATTTACTGATGGCAGAGGGATGTGTAGCCAAACTGCTTTTGCTGCTGTTCTATGACTCCAAGCGCGATTTTATATAGTTACATTTCCTCCCTGCTCCGAAATAATGTCTTGTAAATAGATTCACTATATATACTGTGCTATACACAAATATAATTATATATTATCGCATATTTTCACTGTTACGTGCGACACACGGTTGGTTTTTTAAATTTTGATAACCCACGTTTGTTTACGTTCTTATCTTAATAGCACTTCACGTGCGTTATCTAACGTTAATGGTTCCTACGAAACACTTTGTTTTCAGCACGATTTCATCACGACTCCTCAATTAAGATTGACATTTAAGATAGTCTATACTGAGTCAAATGTTTCTTAAGAAGACCAACTTATTTTTTTAGTCATTTTTAAGTTATGGCGTATCGGACTTTAATTTGTACCTATTGCTATTAAATAATATAAGAAAAATGAAAGTTATTAGCATCCCCTCTTTGTAGTGAATTCCTTGTTAAAATGTTGACAAGTAATCTTATCATGCTGTCAGCATTCTTTTGGTCTTTGTAAAAAATTGAAAAACATTTTTATTTTTTCAGACAAGTAACATTTATATAGTCATGATGAAATTCTTCATCGTTGCGGGAAAACTAAGCATTTTCTTATTATTGTTTTCGTCAACAATATATTGTAGTTGTGTAATTTTTTTAAGGTAACACTGCATTATGCGGTAAATAAGCAAAAAAATTCGCGCTAAATATTTTCATTACCACATCAACTAATACTAACCGCATGGTAATTAAAAAAAATAAATAAATAAAAAATTAACTTTCAAGCTACTTTAAACCAAAGAAAGATTCACACGTATATAATCGATATCTATTTCTTGCGTGTTGCAGGCAAGAAGCCCCACCTGTGCGACTTTCCCGGGTGCACGAGGAGCTTTGCCCAAACCGGTCAGCTGAACACCCATCAGCGCCTCCACACTGGCGAGCGGCCGTTCCTGTGCACCGAGCCCGGCTGCGGGGCTCGCTTTACCCACGCCAATCGGCACTGCACCAAGCACCCAAACCGATCTCTGGTGCGCTCGCCCCAACCAGTTCTTCGGCCCATCGGTAACAACGTGTCCTTGGAGGAGAAGGCCTGGCTGGAGCGATACTACGGGGAAAAGGCGCGCAAGACCCTCTACAAGAGCAGCAAGCGCGCCAAGAGTAGGTCCGAAGAGACGAGCCTCGAGCAGGAAAACGTCTGCGAGGAAAACCAGGACCACGATGACGACGATGACGACGACGAGCATGCCAAGAGAAACAAACGCCCCAAGAAAGCCAAAAGAAGCCGAGACGAGTGCACTCCTCGTAGTCGCCAGTTCTGCGAGAGTCCAGTGCCAGAGGACGAAGTTTCCCATCGGCTACCGATGACCCCGGCCTACAGTCCCCCCGACTCTGCGTATTTGAGCAATCTCGTCGCGTCGGAGGACGAGGACTCGGCAAAGAGGGAAGAACTCTCGCGCATCCTGCACCTGAGTTTCCAAGTCCAGGAGTCGCTGGGCACCAACGTAACGGTGGACGCTTGTCAACTGCCGGTGACCCCGATTCGCAGGTCGAGCGAGGACGGCAATGGCAAGGATCTCGTGTCGGAGGACGATGAGCCAGCGGTCGAGGCGAGCGATCTCGAAACATCACTCGTCTTGCCTTGCCTTGGCTTCCACAGTGCGGAACTGCTGTGCCCGACTCCGCAGTCGGAGGATGAGGAGCGAACCACCATTACGGGGGCTTACCAGCTGCCCGACACCCCGGTTCGCAAACCGCAGGATAGGCACGGGAGTGGTAGGCTAAACGAGTCTCGATTAATTTTGATGTCGGAGGAGGACGAGGAGCTGGTGGGTTCTGATGCTCGTCAGTTGCCCGTGACTCCCGTATGGGATTACCAGGATGAGCTCGACGACGGCAGTCCGATTCCGAGGTTGGAGGACCACGAGCCGGCCAGAACGAGCCCCTCCCAGTTGTTCAGCACTCCGGTAAGCAGGTCCGCTGGATACGAGAGATCGCTGCCCTTTAAAAAACGACAACTGCTCAAGTTCGAGTCCGAGGCCTTGGCTCAGCCCATCAGCTGGGAGACGAATACGGACAGTGGCTCCGGCCATGTGTCCGAGGACTTGTACAGCTCGGCTCAGTGGAGCTTGAGTAGTTCCCGCTGGACGAGCCCGATCGCCGAGACACAGGAGAGCCAAAGAGAGGATGTTCTTCCAATGCCTCAGCCTTTTGCTGTTCTTTCGGTTCCCGCCGAGCCTTGCGTGAACATTCATTCAACGGGAAACGAGCTGAGAGCTTCGGTACTTCGGCACGTGGGCAGGAGTAGCTACGATGTTCCAAGCTTGGCCGTTCCGACTGATCAAGAATGCCAGATCGAGCAAGTTGTTGTGCATGAATGCACGGTGGAAGACGATGAAACCCAACGGCTGGCCGCTTTAGCTTTGCTTAACTTGGCGCAAAAATCGACTCTTCGACTGTGATTGTATTTTTTAGACTTCTTTAAGCATTTTTGTGAGGGTTTTGCTCGTCAGTGTATTCAATCATAAATCATGGCGTCGTCTGGTTAATGCCGAAAAAAATGATAGAGGTAAAGCAGACGAAAATTTATTGTCTTTTCGTGTGCATGGGGCAATCAACAGAGAAACGGACTTGTAACGTAGATTAGAGGCCCTGGGCTCAAGCTTTGGATTTTCTGTTGAGGCACGTATTTACGTTTTGCTATCTGTAAAAAGGGCTTCAAGCTCGTACACTACAATAACCATGCATTTAAGTTAATTTTTAGGAAGTAAAACGGTATGCATATTCAGTGATCCGTTACTCATTATGTTTTTACTTTTTTCATGGCAATAGATTTTTGTCTGTAAAACCTTTTTTTTCGCATTAACCAAACTGTATGATCGAGTCGTAGGGTAAACAAAACTTTACATAGATTCGTTATATTTTTTACTCACTGTATTTCAAATAGTACCAAACATGATTCTAGCAAATTTTTTTTTAATTCTGATCACACAACTTTTTTTTTGTTTAAATCGTACAACTTAATTTTTAAATTACATATTATATTCAGGCTTAAGGGCAAAAAATTTACGATTAAGTATCATCTTCATGTATGTCATAATGATGTACGATACATTTTTTTTTTTTTTTTTTTTTTTTTTTTTTTTTACATGTATATTTACAAACTTTTTTTATGACGGAGAGATATATGCTGTTTTGTGATTGTTTAATTTTAAGTATAGTGACCAAATAACAATTTTTGATACATTTTATAAGAAAATCTTATTTTCATGACGTGCATCTCAGCTTATTACATTTAACGTAAGTCCGTGAAATAATCAAACACTAACACTAACTAATATTTCTAAATTCGGTGTGTTAAGCGTTGTCTAGGGGCTTAATTCATAATTACATCTTGTCATGTGTCAATGAACTTTTCATAGAATGTCATTTCAAATTAAATATGTAAGAAATTAAGAACAAAGCTTTCTTGATAGAATTTATTTGCGATAGTTGTAAATACCCTCATCTCCAAAACACATGAAAGAAAAATGATAATTTGTTAAAAAAATCAGACTTTGATGCTGAAAAAAAAGGCGAAAAGTCGATTTTAGTGGCTCATTTGTTGTTTACCGTAATTTAATCTCAACCAGTTTGTTAAGTGTCTGTTAAGTGCATGTCTTCTGTAAAATTGATAAATGTTTAGGACAAAAACGCGAGATGTTAATAATCGAGCTTGTAAAGTATTGAAGAGGAACAACTAATTAAGGATAGAAACTTGTGATATGTACAGAATCAAAAAGTTTATAGAGAATTGTAAGAAAAATTTTATCTTTAACTATCAGAACTCATTGCCTTATCTCTCATAATTTTTTTATACTTACAGTATAAGTGTTTATTTTAATAAAAAAATCATTACAACTATTTAATTTTTCTTTTTTTTCATTTGAACAAATTACCGCACGAAATTTATTTTTCAATCTAGAATAAGTACTTCCAATAAAATGAAATTACAATTAAAATAAGTAAGCAATAATTTTTTCCATAATTACAAAAATTTCTTGAAATGAACTGCACAATATTACGTGATACGTCTTAATTACAGAATTGTACCTAAAAATTTACCATCATCTGACGAAGTCTAACTGGAACATTAATTTTTTTCGAAACGAATATTACTACTCATTAAATTAAAAAATCAAGACGTTTTTTATAAATGTTTAAATTAATATTTCTCATTATGTATACCTTCAATCGGGACATGGCGCGAATATTCGACCGATCAATGTACTTTAGTACCGCAAATTAAGCGATGCTTAACGATTTTTATACTTGGTTACGTTCGTAAAATTTTTCAAAATTTTGTTTGGTATTAAAAAAAATTTTTTTTTCAATAAAATGAATCTTAGTATATTAAATGGTGTGTCGAAATGATAAGGTATATAGCATGCATGTAAGTGATTAAAATGAAAATACATTTATTAAAAGCATTTTTTTTTTTTTTTTCAATAAAATGATGCTATATATATTAAATGGTGTGTCGAAATGATAAGGTATATAGCATGCATGTAAGTGATTAAAATGAAAATACATTTATTGTTTGAAATGCTGGTTTAATTAGCAATCCAGTTCATTAGTAGGAAATTAAATATGATTTATAGTACGTGTAGTGCGGAGTTTTGCATTTATCAGTTGCAAATTGGCTCTCCCTCTCTCTATCTCTTTCTCTCGCCAACTACAGTTAAGTACGCATCTCTTAGCGAACATAAAAATGCATTATCGTTCATTACAAGTAACTCGCATTTGTGTTCAATTTGCTCAATTGACTTGCATTGGCAACTTTATTTATTATTCTTCTTCTTTTTTTTTTTTTTTTTCCTTCTACAGCTATATCCTCGTCATCGAGGTTACAAATTCAGTCGTAGCCTCGTTAATAACAATATATATGCGCATTCCTTTGTCAGTTCACTAGACAATNATTTGCAATATTTAAAAGTTTTTTGCAGATATGTATTTAAATTTTAAGTGCTTTTTGGGTAAAATAAAGACTAAGATTTGAAAATGATAATTTATTTGTGAATACACTTGAAACACTTGAAGTAAAAACATCGACCAGTTAAAATGTTGTACAGTATGAAATTTCATTAAATCTACGTGGGATCGATGATACTTTTAACTATTAAGGTCCCACTGAAGGAAAAACTGTTCGAAAATCGTTTCACAAGTAACATTCACTAAAGATCCTTCAGTTTACCTGAAAAGAAATTCTTTGTCGCACAGTAAGTGGTTCGGATTTTATGATTTACAATCATTGTAAACTGAAATAGATGATATACTCAAAATCTCGCAAGAAATGTGATATCGTGCGCTGTCACTATTTACAATGTCGACGACAATATCGACTTATAATAAAGGAATATAAAATAAAACGACAGTTCGGAACTTCATAAAAGGAAGCTCTCGGCGCTCTCTTAAGTCTACGCTTAATGTATATTATTCAAGTTTAGATTAATTTTTTTAAAACAACCAACATTATACGTCGCACAGAAGTAATTCATACTGTTGTCAAATTGTAGGCATAGTCGAAGTGTTTTTAATTATTTTTTTTTTTGTACGAAATTCAAGAGTTGCGTCTTTTTGCGAGCTGTGAGCTTTTACAACTAAACTAACTTAATTGTAAACAGTGTTGAAAACTCTGGACGACTCTGTAGAATTTGAAGCTGTAGCTGGAAAAAATTTTGATGAGAGATTGTCATTTCAAGTTTATGTGTCAATGAAAAATAATCGGAAAAGAAATTTTTATTCTGGTTCCTCGCCATCTGAAAAAATAATAGTTCCATTGAAGAATATGAATGTCTTCACCAAAGACACGTTTTTAATTTGACATCTTACCCAAGGCTTCACCATCTCGTTCGTTTTCTTCTTCATTCAAAAAATCTTCTTCCTCATGCGCATTTTCATTCGTACCCGCATCCTCGTCATCTTCGTCTGCTCCATCTTCCTCGTCTTCTCCAGCATCCTCCATAATTTCTACACTATCATCGCACTCAGCATCATCGCCATCTCCAATCTCATCTCCTTCTTCATCTGCACCATCTTCATCTTCTTCCTCTTCTTCGTCACTATCCATTTCCTCACCATCTCCGTCAATACCATTCTCATTTTCCATGTCTGGTGCCAAATAATACTATAAAAACATCAAAATTGAATGTATGTTAGTTACTATTAAATTTGCACTCTCAATAGTTGACAAATTTATTAAATTACTCAGTTAATAAATACGACAGAATAAACTACTTAATTGGCAATCATCTAAGTAGCATTCAATGTAATTTAAATTACCTGCAAGGGATTAGGCCAGAGATCATCTTTGATAAGTTCAGCAATTTCATCTGAACTGGGATCTGCAAGATCCGTAAACCAGTCAAAGAACGATCTAATACCAAGTGGCCTTTTTCTCGATTTGCCCATGGTTGTCTTTGCTTTTAGTCGTTTTAACAAATCTGCGCCGTCCTTCCAACGAATTTCTGTATTTATAGATGCTGGATCGCCTGAAATAAAAAATTTATAATGAAAATGCTGTAAAGCGAATTTTAACATTTTTACTCTAAAGTCATTAAAAACAAAAAAAAAGCTAACAGGTAGTAAGTAAACGTACCAAGATGGAATTCCTTGGTGAGAACGTCATTTTCAAAGTAAGGGTTTTCACTGAAATAAAACTTGATTCTGTATCCAGATTTGATGTCTTCAAATTCTTCAACTTCAAGCTTAGTCAAGTAGCGTAGAGCATCTTCTTCCTCCTCTTCCAGTATTTCAGCAATTTTTTTATTATTGACAAACTGTACAATTTCATTAAGGAAAATAATATTTAAACAGATTTGTCAGTTAAATCTAGTTTTAAGCTGCTACCACCGATTGATTCTTCGATCGATTCCCTTTTACTGCTGTTTCGCTTGACTACGTGTTCTATAAAGATAATAGAAATCAAATGTCATTATCGACATCGGTTTGAATTTTGCATTACTTATTCTATTGGAGCTGTGATGATGACGATTCTATTACAATCGAGGTTATGTCAATTATATTTTCGATTGATAACGTTTCGGCATAACAGAGGACACAGGTACTGATATAAGCATAAATAAATAAAAGTAATAAAAATGTAACTATGTACCGTCAATTAGAGCCAGGATTGATTCCCACTCAATCTATAGAGCCATGAACAAGTATACCGGGCAAAAGATGCCAGCGAAAGCTATAAAAAAAAAAATTTTTTTAAAAAGCCGACAACAATTTTTTTATATGAACACGCTGCGAGAGCTGATTCGCACATGAACTATACTCTGATAGTTTTTTAACAATCAATAGTTAGAGTGATCGATAACATGAATAAATACATAAATGTGTGAAAAAAAGCGAAAGTACCAAAAAGACATAGTCCCGGTCACGAGTCGAGTTGTATTAGCTGGTAAAGGAACATGGACGTGCAAGAGATTGTAGCTTCGGAGATCGATGTGATCCCGGAAGAAAGGGAGCAGTTCGGGGTTAAGTAGAGCGTTTGGAGGAAAAATTAAGAAACATTAATTAGAGCATCAGCATCTCCTTGTGCGCGGGGACTTTGCCAAAAATGGCGTCAGCGGGGGCGATGCAGAGATTGAGAGAGAGAGAGAGCAGGTATCTGAATTGGGACGTGTGCGAGAAGGAGAGGAGAAGAAAAGAGACCGGCGGGCGCGTATAATCGGAAGGTGAGGAATAGGTATAACTATATATACCTAAACCTTTGCCGGCAGCGCGTACAGGAGAGTAACCATCATGATCATTATTTTTTCAACGAATAAACAAAAGTAATGGAATAAAAAGGATACGGCAGTGATCCAGAAGTTTGGTATCCTCTTGATGATGTCGTTGCGCTTCTGGAAGTAGGGCTTGCGTAGCTTGTTGTATTTTTTTTCGACTTCGAGTATCTCATCGCTGGCCTTCTCGTTGAGTCCATCAATCTGGTTCTGACAGCCGTCTATCTCCTCTAGGGCCTTCTGTATCTCCACGTCGTACTCACGGCTAACCTCAGGGCCGCCGTCACCGTCGCTCGACTCCTCGAGTTTCTTCGGCTTTTTGCTCGGCGTCGACATGCCTGCTGCCGCCTCCGCTGGCTGTTAATATGCTGGACGATAACGTCTATACTCTACACTCTACACTATACGTCTGCCGTTAAAATACGGAAGCCCGGTCACGACATCTATACATAAAAACGCAGAAGAGTGCACAAAAAAACACGTATACTTATGTTGTACGAACTATACCTACGAGTGCATCACGAAAGCGCGCACACAACAAGTTGTAAAGCAGACGGTTTCTATTTCATTCACTTCAGAGTGCAGCTTATAATAATTGTTACATCGTTACATGGGAAAGAGATTTGTTATATATGTATATGTATACTTTATACGTATATTTACTTTGAATTTTATCATTCTGGTAGAGAGAGCACGGTGTAAGGTATACGTAGTAATCACTACTAAGTCTAAGTAGTGCAATATGGTCCATTTTATTAAACCATTTAAGTAGAATATCTATACGTTTCGAGGAAGATTTTCTGGTAAAAGATGATTATAAACTTGTCGCAAACAGCAACGATAAATCAACTTTTAATTGTATATCTACAAGATTAGTTGCGGCTGGTTTATAGTCGATTATATTGGGTGCCTGTACATGGGCGTCTTAATGTCTTAAGACTGTAAGCCACACCTATGGCGGGTGATTCATTCAAACTGATGTTAACTGAATACCGATATAATTTGTTTTAAAGAAGAAAATAGACACTTTATTTTGTCAACATAACCTCTCTTTTTAACGACTCAGCGTTAACAAAATTTTTTTTAGTTTTGGTGGCTAAATATCTTTCCAATATTATAATGCAATCACGTAACATAGTTTGGTTATGAACAGGATGCCTATTATCTTGTTTAAAACAAATTATATCAATATTCAGTTAACGTCAGTTTGAATTGAATCACCCGCCATAGGTTTGGCTCACAGTCTTAAGACATTAAGACGCCCATGTACAGGCGGCACCCTATGGCTCTACTATAAGTGGTAATAATTATTTGGATTAGCGCCATCTAGCGTTGCGGATTTCTGAGCTAAAAAGTAGCCCTAAAATTCTCAAGGAGAGTCTTAGGCATTTTTGGCTCTAGAGCCATTCCATCAATTATAAACCAGCCGCAAAAACTTTCATAGATATGAAATAAAAAGTTGATTTAGTTTGCACTGTTGGCGGCAGGTTTACCATTTATCTTTTACCTAAAAGTACAAACATATAAAAGATCAACATTTAGATAGAAAATAAATTGCAAACTTGCCGCAAACAGCACAGACGACGTTAAATTTTTATTTTACATCTGTGAGAGTAGTGGCGGCTGGTTTATAACTAAGTAAATGGCTCTAGGGCTAAACTGCTTGAAGCTCTCCTTCAGAATTTCGGAAGCAATTTTTGGCCAAAAAAATTTCGACCGCTAGATGGCGCTGATCCACATAATTATTACTACTCATAGTAGAGCTATTTAATCAATTATAAACCAGCCGCAACTAATTTAATAAATATAAAATAAAAAGTTAACGTTGTTTGCACTGTTGGCGGCAAGTTTACAATTTATCTTTTACACGGAAGTATAAATATATAAAAGATCAACATTCAGGTAGAAGATAAATTGCAAACTTGCCGCAAACAGCACAGACAACGTTAAATTTTTATTTTACATCTGTGAGAGTAGTGGCGGCTGGTTTATAACTAACTAATTGGCTCTAAGAAATCTATTGGAGCCGATAAGTTAGACCCTCCGCTCACTTTGAAAAAATTCACTATGAAAATACGCTAGTACTAGTGTCCGCAGCGGAGGGTCTATTGGAGCTGATTTGTTAGACCCTACACTCACTTCTTTGAGATTCACAAGGAAAATGCACTATAACTAGTGTCCGTAGCGGAGGGTCTATTGGAGCCGACATGTTAGACCCTGCACTCTACGTATTGCTTTCTAGCGTTGTGATTTTTGGATTGTATCTAACTAGGGAAAATCAAATTTAAAAAACCCTAGATTTTGAGCTCTATCTTTTCGACCTAGGGTATTTCCCCAGAATGAATGATGGTTTATCGGTATCGATGAAGAAATAGGTCCCTGTCGTACCGAAGGTCAACTCACTTACACGTTGAAAAGGACGGTCCAGTAACAACTGTCGGCAAGACAGATTACTAGCTAACCTACCTAAGTCAAGACCTGCCATACCGACGGTCGACATTGTTCCAACTTTTTAATGGGTTGATTGTCGGTGTGGCAGGGACCGTATTTCTGAATTGATACCGACAAACCATGATTGGTAGTGAATCTATATAGAAAGAGTGCGGAAGGTCCAACAAGTCGGCTCCAATAGACCCTCCGCTGCGGACACTGGTGAATCTATAGGAAGAGAGCGGAGGGTCTAACAGATCGGCTCCAATAGATTTCTGAACTAAAAAGTGGCCTTAAAATTCTAAAGGAGAGCTTTAGGCAGTTTAGGCCCTAGAGCCATTCAGTTAGTTATAAACCAGCCGTCACCACTCTCACAGATGTAAAATAAAAATTTAACGTTGTCTGTGCTGTTTGCGGCAAGTTTGCAATTTATCTTCTACCTGAATGTTGATCTTTTATATATTTATACTTTCGTGTAAAAGATAAATTGTAAACTTGCCGCCAACAGTGCAAAACAACGTTAACTTTTTATTTTATATTTATTAAATTAGTTGCGGCTGGTTTATAATTGATTAAATAGCTCTACTATGAGTAGTAATAATTATGTGGATCAGCGCCATCTAGCGGTCGAAATTTTTTTGGCCAAAAATTGCTTCCGAAATTCTGAAGGAGAGCTTCAAGCAGTTTAGCCCTAGAGCCATTTACTTAGTTATAAACCAGCCGCCACTACTCTCACAGATGTAAAATAAAAATTTAACGTCGTCTGTGCTGTTTGCGGCAAGTTTGCAATTTATTTTCTATCTAAATGTTGATCTTTTATATGTTTGTACTTTTAGGTAAAAGATAAATGGTAAACCTGCCGCCAACAGTGCAAACTAAATCAACTTTTTATTTCATATCTATGAAAGTTTTTGCGGCTGGTTTATAACTGATGGAATGGCTCTAGAGCCAAAAATGCCTAAAACTCTCCTTGAGAATTTTAGGGCTACTTTTTAGCTCAGAAATCCGCAACGCTAGAAGGCGCTGATCAAATAAATTATTGCGATACTTACAGTTGAGCCACTTAATCAATTATAAACCAGCCGCAACTAACTGTGTAGATATCAAATAAAAAGTTAACGTCGTCGGTGCTATTTGCGGCAAGTTTATAACTATTTTTTACCAGAAAATCTTCCCCGAAACGTATAGATATTCTACTTAAATGGTTTAATAAAATGGACCATATTGCACTACTTAGACTTAGTAGTGATTACTATAATTACTACACATAACTTGAAAAGTGAGTAGAGGGTCTAACATATCGGCTCCAATAGACCTTCCGCTGCGGACACTAGTCCTAGTGCATTTTCGTAGTGAATTTCCAAGAACTGAGTCAGAAATGAAGATGATCGAGTGTAGAGTCTACTGGAGCCACTTGGGCTTGAGACAATACCATCAATTTTTTCTGGCAGAATTAAGTAATTAAAAATTATACCACAAGATGTACGTGTCATACTGTCATGCATGTACGCTTTGTATAATTAAACCTCTTTCACAAGAATTATACTTAAGTATAAGGTACATGTATTTATAAGTAGGTATATTTTTTTTTTTTTTTTTTTATATTCATCATCGCCCCTTAAGGGCTCAGACATGGCTATTTTGACACCATAAAGTGTATTTAGCCATACGTTGGGTTTAATAACAGTAGGAGGAAACGGTAGATGGATCGGTAGGTTTATTGAAGTACAACTCCCATCCAGAAAAAAACCTCATTCAATGATGAAATTTTTGTCCAGAGTGGGATTTGAACCCCGGCCATCAAGATCTGTAGGCAGACACGCTACCGACAGAGCCATCATGTGGCTCAAGTAGGTATATATAAATCAGATGAGCCTAATGACCCAATTACATTTGTATACCTATACAAGGAAATGCAGATTGTAGACTGCTGAGTGTATAAGCGCTTCCATAAACTATGTAATATTTAATTGTCATTTTAAATTGTTAACAAAACTTATGTGTGTTTGGAAAATTTGAAGTTGCTCATAAAAAGTATAAAATTTAAATAAAAAATACGATATAAATTATCAACAAATAAATGAAAAAAAAAAATAATCGAAAAAGAATAGTATCTAATGATGCAGATTGTTAAATAGTTTTGATGGACAGAAATGCTAAAACAAACGTGATGAGGAAATAAGTTATTAACTTAACTTGCCGTGTAGTCTTTAGTAATTTTTACGAACCAAAAGATATGTGATTCATTTGTTAATCTATTACAATTTAAAGTAGTTTCACAAAATAAGATGGGAAAAACGTGTGCAGTGACTGCCGTGCCCAAAATAAAAATTCAATAAGGTGTTGGTTTTGTTTTGTCATTGCCGTTAGCCGTTATTGGAAATATTGGTAGCTGCCTGCGCAAGACTGTCAACGTCTCCTTTGCAAAACAAAGGGTTATGGGTGGCATGAGATCGTAAAATTTTTGAAAAACATGACTCTGCTAAAAATTACGTAGTAGCCACGGATTACGGATAGTGCACACTTAGGTAATAAAAGAGGTAGAGTGCATTGCCAATCTTACCATTAAGTGTGTTGTCATCCTAGGGAAGACAAGTTGTGGTAATACTTTTTTCAAGTGTGCAGACATCAAAAACGGTTATAATACCTGCGAGGCGTCGACATTCTGGTATTATTTCTTATCAAGGTTCACCAGTTTCGAGATGAATCAATTAAAGATCCTGGTCGGCGAGATACTTAACAGTATGAACATGCCTGGCTGCCCAAAATCTCCTAGCCTCGAGCTTAGCATTTCCACAGAGAGCCTCGACCAGCTGGACCTGTCACCTTACCAGGCTGAAATTAAGTGCAACAAACTGCTACCTTATGCCGACAAGCTTGACGAGGAGGCCGACAAACTCTTCGCTGACATCAAAGCCAAGCTGGGCAAGTGCGTGATCTATGGAGATGTTTATCCAGGCCTCTATCGATGGTCATCGTTTGTTCACATGTTAGTATATATTTTTCTTGTTGAAGTCAAAGCAATTATGTATCAATTGAATGTTGACTTAACACCTGCTGATATCACGATGAACTTTAAAAAAAATTTTTTTTTAAACTTACAGCTACATTCGTTTGTATGGCTTGAGATTCACAAAGGAAGATCATATTGCTCTTGTTAAGCTGTTTTACGAGTTAATAACCATCCCTGGGCTTCAGCCCACATCACTGGAAAAGTTTGCAACTATACTAATGTTACTGCTTATGTAAGTTGTTTAAACATTGCTCAAGTATTGTTGAGATCATTGTATCATGAAACTCCTAAAATATTGATCTTACTCTTTATAGGAAAGAAGAACTTCTCTCACCAAATGACTTGGAATTGCCTTGGAGGCCTCTTTACAATTTATGCTGGACAGTATACAATTGTACATCAACCGACAAAATGGATAAGACTATGTACAAGTACTCCATGAGCTCCAAAAATATATTAAATAATGCAGTTCAAGTATCAAAGCTGTATTTTCCCGTATGAAAATTGAATTTCAATCATTTACACATGTGTATACATCGATATAAATATATTGTTAATTTTGTTTGAATTTCATTATTTCAGTTAAGTGCAACTCAAGAAATATTAGATGAAATAAGGCCTCACCTGTATCTTTACAATGAGAATGTTGACATGTATTTGAGCCTTTTGCGACGATTTCTACCAGTACACTTACCTGTTGATCATCACAGCATAGGCCATGAATTATGGTTTCATGAATTTATGGAATATTGGGAAATTCAGCTTACAGATAGTACATATGAAAATAAAATGATGCATATTATGGCTAAATTAGCATCTGAAAATATTGGCTACATTGATTGGAATCCATACATTCCCATTATGTTTTCTAGATTTCTTTCTAGTATGAGCATGCCAGTGAAATATAAAAAATTGGGTAGTGATTTTAATCCTGAACTTGATGGGTCTCTCATAGCTGAGTGGATAGCATCAGTTCTGGTAAGATTTTTCATAGTTTTGGTAATTATTAATATTTCATAATAGCAGCTTTCATTTCCAGGGTGATAAAAGTGATGCTCAAATTTATTTGGAAAAGTTTTTGAAAACAGTTGAAACATACTTTCACCCTGCTAATGTTGGTATGTGGTCTTACAAACTTTATTGTTTGTGGAACGATCTTCCTCGCTTCGTTTCTATAAGATTGTACAGGTATACCAAAACATGTGGAAGAATTTATAATGGGATTCTTCTATTTTATTCAAACAAGTTTTTAATTTCCAGAGAGCGTTATAAGAAGGAATCGTGGAAAATACCAATACCTGATAGTTACCAACTTACAGATGCAAATATTGATGATTTTGTTGCTAGCATGATGCCAATAACCACGATTGCCATTTTCAATAAAATGTCTAGATTGAGTTCATCCAGTGCAATACAAGATTTGGCTGCAATGCGACCTAAAGTTGTTATTCCAATGGTGCTTGAAAAACTATATCCCCTCCTAGAAGACAATACCACGGAACGTAATAAATTGGTTTCCGTATTTTCTTGTCTATCTTCGATGCTCCGACCATTAGTTTTAGGTCCCCGTCACTTTGATAAAGGTACTTGTGGTTGTTTTTTTTTTTTTTTTCAATTTAAAAATTGTACTTAAAAATTTGTTGAGCTTATAAAAAATTAATTTGTTTTTAGCTTATGCATATTCTGAGGGACCTACCCACGTACTAAATCTTCTGTACGCGGCCTTGTCTGGGATAGATATGAATGAACCTGATAACTGTTTTAAAGCAATTAATTTAATTAAAACGTGCCTTTCGTTGGTTCCTGTAGTTAACTGTTCCAAGTCCAAGTTGGAACGAAACGAAGAAGATAATTTAATATGCGAGCAAACAGCCCGTTTCGAGGACTTTTTCCTACAATTCATGGAAAAAATTTTCGCTCTAATAAAATCAGGGTCTCACATATCGGTTAGAATTGATAATACAAAGGCGGTACAAATGGACATGTTCGAGACCATGGCCAACCGGGCGTTAAGCGATACTTTTTACGTGCTTTTGCAACAAATGAACGATGATTTATTTTCTACTGCCTTAGAAAAGCTTTACTCGTTTGTTAGAGAAGAAACTTTTGAAGTTAAAGTTGCTGGCCAAATGGTTGCAATGATTTGCAATGTCTTCAGTATGAAAAATGGCAAACTAGTTCTTCGCGCTTTTGTGCCTTACCTTACAGAAAGGATTTTGAGTTACTTTGAGGAGGACCATGACACTGTCGGAGAGCATCTCGAAGATCAGTTACTTTATCCATTACTAATACTGAAAAGCATACTTGATACTCAAGGAAGTGCCATCCTGCCACACTTAAATACCCTTTTACCAGTCATCGACAAAGTCGTAATGCTGGAGAACCATGAAATAAATAAATTAGGCTGCGATTTGTTGCAAAGTTTGTTCATATCACTTTGTAACTTTCAAATTATATGTTGTGAAAATAATACCGTCGATGGCGAGGAATATCCATACTGGGAAGACTGGGGAAACAGTATGGATGTCGACTCAGCTCAATTAAGGTGGTACATACCTGGAGAACAAGAGCTAGCTGCGACTGAGAAACTATTTCACCGATACTTCTTTCCTGCTATAGATAAGATCCAGAATTACATCAACGGAACGATTTCCTTATCTAGGTAATTTTATTTTTACGCTTAATTGCCGTAGTTGGTCCGTTTATCCAATATTCGTGGAGATGTTTATAGATAACATTGAGGAAAATATTTTTAGTAATCAAGAAATAAACTATAACGATGTTTGATTTACAGAAATGAACTTCAAGTAAGGTTGAGAATTATTTTAAAATGTTTAAATGGATGCGATGTGATATTACCTCGTTGGAAAGAAGAGTTTATACTCAGCAAGGGATGCGAAAATTGTACATATGAGTTTAGACCTTACATGGGAATTGACTATAAAATAACTATGCCCAATGGTGACAATGTCAAACGTTTTGTCGCCCAAGTTATGGGTAATATTCAAGAAGTTATGTTGAAGAATATTGAAGATAATACAGATTGCTTCAACCTTTTGTTAGAGGTACCAACCACTTTAATACGATGCATAATTTTTTTTTCTTTTTAACATATCTAATTTATTAACACGATTTTATAGATTTGGAAAACCTTGAGTTGCAATCCAATAAGTTTAATGATAAATGCTATCCAAAATCGTAATATCATGCATGCGCGAAAGGAAATAGTCAGCATGAGAATAAATGGTGATAAGGGTCTTTTGCCAAGTATTTTACAAAAATGGGTGCATCTTCAGCACGAGTGGCGGGAAGCAAATGTCATGTGCCCATTAACTAAAACGTCAAAGGATATCATGTTGAACTTGTTCAAGTTGAGCATAAATAAATATAAAGAAATTCGTGAAACAGCTATGCATGTCCTTGTAGTAAACATGGAATGGTTTCAATGCTCCCGTGAAGAATTCGTTCCCTACGTTGTGGAAATCCTTCAAAGTGATACAGAAGCTAACGAAGATGCCTATGTTGTAAGTAATATGCTCATTTTTTTATGTAATTTTTACGCATCATTTGTAATGATCTTACAATTTTTTTGTTATCTTAGGGAGTTTTGAGTTTGATTGGAAATTTAAATGTAAATTTGCTGAAAAACAATTGGCAACTATTACTGAAGCTGGTACCAGCTGTGGTATTGGCCAAGCCAACCGAAAAACTAGAAGCTATTAAAAAACTTGAAGAAATTGCCATGCACATCAAACTTGGATACTCAACGACAAACATTAACTTAAAGGTATCGGATAATTGCGTGAAGGCAGCTTTCGAACTGTGGAGCGTTGGTCTAGCCCCATCGGAGTCGCAGCCAGACAAAGAGACTATTAAAAGTAGACTAGCTTTCGCCGAAGATTTGGGACGTGAAAATTTACAAGCATATAATGATTTATTGGAAAAACTGATCAGTGCTGTTTTAAGCGGGAACCTCCACTGGCGACATCATCACATGGCCACAGATTTCATTGCCATAATTGCCCATCCTGAGTACTTACTGCCGACTAAAGTAGTGCGATATTTCCTTGGTGCTTTGATTCACGATTCCATTGACGAGAGGCGCTTGGCTTTAAACATGATGGTGCAGATATTGTACCAGCTCAAAAGAAAGCATCCAAAAGTGAATATTATGATCAATTTTTTGTTTACAATTGAAAACTTGAAATATCAAAAATTCACGCGTAATGATTGAACAAATTTTTAGATAACAATTGACGTTCCCAATCGAGATAGAACACTGACACCGGGAATCAGAGCTGACAATGAGTGGTTACTCTATGATGCCTCCAACTGGCCAAGAACGGCGGAAAAATGGGACAGTCCGTGCTATTTGCACAACGAAAGCATAGGTTTTTATGCGTGGCCAAGAACTCTCGAGGTTTACGCGCCGTACGCTAAGCAGCCAAATCTCGATCGTAAAGTTCGTCAAATGTGCGAGCAGGAAAAAGAGGTCGACGCGTTTTTCTCCGACGCGCAAAATATCTCCCAGCTCATTAAATTCCTGAGCATGGAAGATAAAAAGGACAAGGACGTGTTCAGCCATCAACGCTCCCGGATGTTCGAGGGACTGTTTCGTAACCACGGTGACGATCACTTGGCTCATTTTTTGCCGCATCTGCACAACTTGGTGCAAGACACCAGCGAGAGTTCGCAACGTTGTGCGGCCGAAATAATCTGTGGTCTGATCCGCGGTTCTAAGCACTGGCCCTTCGACAAGACAAAATCAATGTGGGACGAACTGTTGCCGATCATCCGGCTTGTTCTTGACAACGCCAGCATGGAAAGTATGACCGACTGGTTGACTTGCTTTACGCATGCTATGAAGAATCGCGATCCCAATAGGTTGTTTTGGATGATCGAGTTCATTAGAGATGAGGCTTTGAAGAGCGATCGCGGCAAAAGTACCATTAACGAGCAAACGAAACTAGGAATTTTAAAGCAAATCACTGATCACCAATACTGGCGCATGAGTCTCTGGCTCGGTCGACTACTGCCGGACGTCAGATCCTACTTGTACGAAAATCCTCTTAAAGGCGTAAGGGACAATTTGGCTCTAATATTAGTCAAGATATATACCTCGCACTTGTTTTATCAGAGAAATGAGAATCGTCCAGGTGGGTAATCATGCGGCGCACTATTATATGCAATGTTGTCTATGATCTTGGTTTCATTAATACACTGATTAATCGAATTACTCACCAGAATGTCCAAAAGTAAGCGAATTCATTAATCCCAATCAACCGCTTCTGCAAAACTTGTTGGATGAGAGTTCTGAGAATGGCCGAAAATTTCTGCATACATTGTGTTCAATAACTACCGAATGGATGGTCTCGGTTACCTTTGAGGGGGGAAGCTTTTTTGATCTCTATCCTTTACTCGTTCAAATGGAGAACAGTGAAACGCAGTATCCAGAGCTCGCTGAAATCTGTAGGAAAACGATAGCATCTCTAGCTACGTCGTATCTTGCAGACAGCATTCCAGTTGCTCTCAAAGCTATTAACGAAACCTCAAAGAGCAAATCATGGTCCGAGCGAGTCAGTACCATCCATTTCATTGAAGTCGTACTATTTTACAACATGAGCATATTGTGGAGCAATGAGGACTGGATGGAAAAGATTCGCTCGATAGTTTTGAGACTGATCGAAGATGAACGAGTTGAAGTTCGAGAAAAGGCTGCCGAAGTTCTCAGTGGAATGCTGCATTGCACTTTAATCACCAATGAAAAAGCTCTCTTGGTAAGATTTAAAAAAAATTTTTTTTTTGTTTATTTTATTGAAAGATTTTGCTCATAATAATGGTACATTACGTACCTAGGCCAGACCATTATACAAAATTTGGTCAATCATTAGTATGTTACTTTTTTTAAAGATCGCTAATTTTTCAAACCTACTTTATACAGAAATACCGCGGACCATTTTTCCATTTCATTGTTCAGCTCTTAGAGTCTCATATTTATTGTTTTCTAATCTCAAGCAATTTATCTTCTTTTCCCTGTTTTAAAAAATTTTTATACAATCATACTCGCACCATTTTTTTTTTTTTTTTTTTTTTTTTTTTTTTTTTTTTTCATACAACCCTATAAGTACGTCTTAGTCTAGCCTATACCAATCTTTCATAGACATGTGATTCGACAAATCGGTTGAAATTGAAAATATAGTCACTTGTCAGTTCGAATCGTTAATTGAGATTTGTGCACGATGGCAGGACAAATTTATGAAAATGGCAAAAAAGAAGGGGCGGAGTAAGAAAAACGAGTCCAAAATTGCCGATTCAAGTGAAACCATACGTCTGCGGCACGTCGGTGTACTTGGCATGTGTGCTTTTATCCAAGCTCATCCCTACGACATTCCTCAAGAAATTCCCCCGATATTTGAACACTTGAGCGCACACCTCAACGAACCAGATCCTATTTTAGTAAGAAAATTATTTTTTCTTGTTCACATAACTGTGAATGATTGTACATTTTTTTTTTTCAACCAACAAATATTGTCTCTTTCAGACGACAATACGCAAAACGTTGAGCGATTTCAAGCGCACTCATTGTGATACCACGGCTGGACTTCAAGGTCTCGCGGAAAAGTTGACTCCGGAGCAGTTTGAAATTCTACAAGATTTAAACGTACCTCCTTCGTATTTTTCATAGAGTAAAGTGTATATACATTTTTAATTGACGGTAAGGAAAAGTGATGCATGTTTTTTCCTTCAATCGATCGTTAAGTATTTTTCTACCGGTTTGTTTGTTGAATTGGAGTTATAGTACAATTATATTTTATAATAAAGTTACATTGTTTCAAAACTTATCATTATTGATTCATTCATTTTAAACACGCTCATCAACTGAATCTTGCATATTTACTCCCAAATGACATAAAAAATTATTTCCTTCCTGATTATTGTTTTCATGAATAATACAAGTATATGATGTACATTCGTGAACGTGGCGTTTAAAATATGCCATTCGTAAATTTGGAGGGAAATGCAACGTAAGTTAAAGTTAAAGAGCGTAACAAAATACAATAAGTTTTTTTATTATTATTAGTTTTCAACCAAATGGTCCAGAAAACCGACTCGATACAGTGATCATTGTCTTATACCAAATAGTAATAGGAGCATATATAAATCTCCATAAAATTTTTCTCTTTTTTACATTGCTTTACCTTACTCTATTAGCGACGCGATTCGCATTCCAAAAATACTGAACAATTTTCATTTTACAATTCAAATATTAATAAAAAAAAAGGTAATATATTATAAAAAAAGAAGAAAAAAAACATGGAGTACTTTTGTCACACTTCAAAGCAAGTATTTCAACTCACGAAGATGGTGGTCTCGGAAAGGAAGTTTTAGTTTAACGGTCGTTATAAAAATGCCTGCTTCCCTTTTCTTATTACTCGACACCCACGCTACACGTATACATACGTATTTAAGGGTCCAGCAACCATACTTTTTTTCTCTCGTTTTTTTGCCAACTTGCTCATATGTATATGCTTCTCGTAACTTCTGCGGGATCTCATTCCGCCAAAAAAATATCAAATGAATGATGTATGCCGAGGCCGCGCGTATATATAGATACCATGGCAGGGGAGTTAAGCTGATCTTCACGTGATTTCCTGAGAGCGCGCGATCGCATCATTGTCAAATAAAAATATAATTACAAGGCGGATGGCTTTTTGGCGCTTATACGTGTATTTACATCGCATATTATTGATCCCCCGTCATTTTTATCATTTTAAATGGAAATGTGATTGAGGACTTTTTTTAATCTATTTGGTAAATTCTTGTTTTTTTAGACAAAATTTTAAGCCAAAACAAATTTAGGCACCCTAATTTGAAACAATTGAATGTTGCACATTTATTGTTTTAGTACTTGATTGATGAAATCTAATCTATCTGAAAATAACAAAAATTTTTTATTTATTTTTTATTTGGTGGACCCATTCGCGAGAACCTCGTCACTGGCCCTTTTGATTAACGTTTGTCCGTATCACTGACGAAAATCGGCACACTGACGTTATTCCTGGAATACTTTTCAGGTCACTTTTTCTACCATCTCGGAGACTAAAGGGTCTTTTTATAATTATCATATTCGCCGTTGCGTCCGAAAAGGGAAAGACGAGACAGCAAACGGAGATGCACATGTTACCAAGAGTAAGATAAGAAAAAACAATTTAGGGCAAGGGAACATAAACGGTGTCTCATGTACAACTTATGCTTATAATGTAGGGACACATGTCAGACTTAGCTCTATGGGGCTAAAATTTATCATTTTGTCCATCACTTGTGTTAAATAATCTAATAATTAATAATACAATCCGTGTACTATCGGAGCAGAGGACTTAGCAGAGTTAGTTCCCGAGTCGCAAACGATTTTTCTTGTTAAAATATTGGTTTAACTTTTATTACATATTTTTCATTCTGTTGTTTTCTCCATCCCTTATCATTATTGTAAGCTATTTTAATTTATTATTAGATTTATTAACAACGTGCTAATAAAATTATTAAATTTTTTTCGCCGACTTATACCTGGTCGAAAATTATTGAAAAAAAAAAATAAATAAAAACAAAAATATTAATGATAATAATAATAATTAAAATAAAAAAGAATCATTTAAAAAAAACGATGAATGGTGACTGATTGATCAGTACGTCAGAACGTAATGGAATTGAAATCCATTCAATTTATTTTACTGCCAGCTAGCTGATGAACACAAATCGCTAATAATTACAACATCGCGACTCTTTTCGTCTGTTACTCAAACAAGCGTCCTCTTCACAATCGTAAAATCGAAAAAAATAAAATAAAATAAAATAAAGTGAAATAACTGAAAAAATTTCGCCGAATCGCGCGTGCGGGCGACACAAGGGCGCGCAACATTAACCAGTAGCCTTTTACCGGATAAAACTGTTATAGTGTGCACATGGGCATATTGTATTTGGGGGGACGAAAAAAAAAAAAAAATTAAACAGACAGCACGTGGCTGTCAGCATGTGACAGGCTGTCGTAAAAAAAAAAGAAAAAAAAAAGAAAAAAAACCATTAAGAGACGAAGAAAGTAATTAAGAAGGGCCAAACAGTGAGAAGCATGTACCACCACACACGTTCGCCGGATGAAGAAAGAGGACTCTCTTCTCCCTGATCCCATGATATACTCTCTCTTTTTCTTTAAAGTCTCTCTATTTTTCCCTTAACGCGCACATACACACACCGGCGGGTTATACCGAGGGTGTTCCATAAAAAAAAAATCATCAGCTGATTCTATGTGGTTAAAACTAATTGAAATTTGATGTATTTAATATGTGCCTTTGAAACTGTTTTATTCAAAAAATATCAAGTCACGAGAAATGATCTTGGCTATCTTGGAAAGTTAAAGTAGTAATTTGTTTTTCAATGCATTCAGATTTTACAAAAAAATGTGTGCAATTTTTTAAAATAGTAAAAAATGGTATCTCAAGAAAAAGTATATATTTTTTGTCAAATAAAATATCGTCACAACAACTCAAAAAGAAATAGTAAAAACAATAGTTTTTTTAACTAATGTGTTGAGCACTATTTTCCCTAATTAACGAGAGCACAGCATACGATACATGAAGATAGGTATATGTAGACCAAATTTTTTTGCCGTATTACGGCAGAAAATAGAGAAATCTCAAAAGATATAATATTGTAATCTTACATTCTTTTGTGCTTCTTTTTTTTTTTTTTTCCCCACAACGCCCCAAATGACGAAAATTTCATTGAATCGATCAAACAATCGTGTTGAGGATGAAAAAAAGAAAACGAAAAGAAAAATTCAACTCTTTCTGCGATGTAAAATATGAAAAAAAAATCGTAAAATCAATGGCCATCACTTGCGTTATTTCGTTGCATTACCCACGTATGTACCCACATATGAAAACACAAGAAGCTACAACATATCGCACGCATATTTCCACACTTTGCGGGCTCACACCATATATTATGCTCGCACAAGCTACAGTTCATAATATGTGTATACACACACATTCGATTTCTCTCTCTCTTTTAAAACAGAGGCAAAGACGTCGGGGCGCGCGCGGAAGATCTCGCGTTCAGTCAGTCTTGAGCCGCGCAGCCTCCCGGCCTCGTTCCTCTTTGAAAACCCGACCGTAAACCCTCGGCTCCGCCGGCACGCAACTTCACATACGACTCGATGAGATGTAGCATTTATTTTCCCCGTTTGACCAAAGTTCACGCCGCTGCATCCAAAAATTGTCAAAAAGTTTTCTTCCTTGAAACAAAAAAAAAAGTGCTTCAACTAATTGAATAATAATAAATAATCCCAGGCGGCTCTTTGATTGTCACGGATTCCGGAGCTTCGGAGTGGAAGAAGATAAAAAAAAAAAAAAAAAAAGGCAGGACCGCGAGGGATGACGCGGACGGTCGTGCGACTGCTCCCGGTCTTGGCGCTGCTACTCCTCGAAGGCAATTATTCAATGGCTTTGATAATAATTACACGCTTCGTTTGGTATACGCTTCTTGTACATATATACAAACATACACATAGAGACGCTCTGCTCGGGCTTTAACGAGCCCCATACAGTGTCGGCTCTTTTTTTTTTTTTTTTTTTTTTTTTTTTTTTTTTTTTTTTTTTTTTTCTCGGAGGGAGGGAGGGAGGTAGGGAGCTTTTTCGATGAGTATATTCGACAGCTGCACTTTTTGTTTAGCTTTTTCTCCTCTTCACCGCTCCCTTCGATTGACTCTATATGGTAAACGGATGCCCGTTACTTGAAACCTTCTTGTTTTTCCTCCCACGTGTGCGTTTTTTTATTTAACAATCATCCCTGGATACAATAATCTAGTTTTTAGGGGATGATTTTTTTTTTTTTTTTTTCAATAAATAAAGATAAAAGTCTTGATACGTAATTTTAAGAGGCAGAAAAAAAAGTCACTGTTTCTTCAACCACGTCAGCTTTTGAGTGATTGATTAAGCATGCGGTGTTATGGTACTCCTGAACCGATGGGAAGGCTAATAATTAAAATACCAGTTGTGTCGTTAGAAATCTCTTCATTTGCATGAAATTCACGGTTGCACGAAATTTTATGTTCGAAAAACGCCGAGAAGTATCCGCGATAATCAATTTCTGAAGAATTTAATATTAATGAACAATAAAAGAAGAAAAAAAANAAAAAAAAAAAAAAAAAAAAAAAAAAAAAAAAAAAAAAAAAAAAAAAAAAAAAAAAAAGAAATCTACTAATAGGGTTCACATGAGATTCGATAATTGGCTGTGTTTTCTTGCAAAACGTGTGGGCACAAGCCGCTGTGAGGTCACGCGATAAAAATTTTGTCATCACCCAAACAATCCGAGTCTTCAATTTTAACCCGATGAAAAGCAACGAGCACATTAAATGCCGAGACGCCGGGTGTCGCGTGAAATCACATCGGAATCCATCTCGATCCCAAAAAGCTCGTTTTTTTTTTTAAATTTCGCATTTTCATACAAAATCGTAGTAAAAATGACGTCTCCACGAAGATGTTACGGATGTTTTACGGAAGAAAAAAAAAAAAAAAGAAAAAACAGCTCGCGAATCGGCGCACCATTGAAAATGTAATAATAAAAACTAATGAGCAAAAAACGCGGGCATGGTATATATCTATGTATGCACGGAGAAAGCGCAGCATCGCGGCCAGCAGCCCCAGGATATAAATATAAACCCAAAGAAAGAGAGTTTGAGCCACGCGTGGTTCTTCTTTGTTCAATCGGAGCATCGCAGTTCGGAGCCGTCGAGCCGGTGCTTTTCGAGCGATTTATTACGGCGACGAGCAACAAGTTGCGCGAATGAACAAAGAAAAGAAAATGCTTCAAAAGCCAAACAAACGAAATAGTAAATCAAGAGGGAAACGTATATATATATATATATAAATATCAATAGTGCAGATAAATTTTTACGTAACACGTGCGTTCTCTGTTATATATGAATGTATTGTGAGCGCAAGCTCGAGCGAATGACGGGTGCTTAGCGTTGTATTCGCGCGTGAGAAATTTACTACGAGGTGGTAAATTTTTCGGTTTTCGGGCGCGTCCTTGCCCTGTATTTCTCGTCAAATTTACGAGGCTGCGCGTCGACACCTCCGAGAGGCGTCGCGAAATCAATCATTTACGTACAACGCGCGAGAACTTGTAATTGGTATTAGCGTTTGACACTTTGTGCAGAGCGGGGGGGAATCCCCGATTGCGCTGACGCGCGAATGCTGGTAATTTTTTTTTTTTTTTTTTTTTTATTCACACCCCAAATATAGCTACTTATCAGCTAGATTGACTCTCGGTTACGCAGTCGGCATGCTGTGATAAGCGGGTTATTTTAGCTCCGCGGAAGATATAATTTTTTCGTAAAAACAGCTTTATCGAGGGTGGCTGAGCGTGTCGTTTGGGTACACGTTGTTGAAAATGAATTAGTCATCGAAGCACTTGAGCTCGGCCGGTTGATGCTGCGTATTAAATCGCCTGTTTTTTTATTTTTTTATTTTTTTATTTCAATGATGGAATCGCCAGTTTTGTGCACTTACTATTTTCAAATGTATCTCTTTTATCTAGTCGAATCTCTTGCAATCATTTGATACATTGACTCGATGACGGTACGTAATTTGTAAACGTAACGATGTTTCATTCATTATTTTTATACATCCCCGTGTGTTTGACACATCTTTGGGAGAAGTACCTAACTTTATGTAAAATGTAAGAAAGTCCAACATACTCGATACAAGGGATAGGCTGGGATATTTAAATGATTTTAATACTGACATTTTTTTTTTCTCCGAAGCAAAGTTAAGATTATTGACCTTAAAAATGTTCTTTGTAGTATACATTGTGTGTTCCGGTGATGAATGTAACAGTTATAGTGTGTGGATATAGTATATGCGAAATCGTAGTCTCTTACACATAAATTTAGCCATAGTTGCCGATGTTGGTCGAGGGAATAAAGAATGATTCATGATATTTTTGAGGCAAACGAAATTCCGTCACTTACATCATACGATCATTCGAAGGCCGTTTAACCGATTCATCGATGAAATATATTAGCATATCTCACTACTCGAAGTTTTGTGATTTCTTCCGTCTTTCAAATATTTTCGATCTCCAGGTTTGCTAAGTCTATTTGAAAAACAAAAGTTTGGTCGTTAGACTTATTCAACAAAAGTATTGATTGAACGAAAAAACAAAACCACCGAAAACGTGATTTATTACACCAGTGACCGTGTGGCTGTAATATGCTTCGCGGAGAATCAAAATAACAAATATTATTTGTGGATTACTCGTGAAAATTTATCACAACCACTCATGCGATACCATATAATATACCGCTGTGAAAAAAAAAAGTTTCAAACAATACTACGCAAACTATACGTAACATCAGAGTAACATCACAAAAGTTTCGCTTTCCTTTTGATTTGACAAAACATTGCAACAACACACCACGTAGGAAGCACACATGAAAAAAAAAAAAAAAAAAAAAAAAAAAAAAAAAAAAAAAAAAAAAAAAAAAAATATATATTTTCGAAGGCAATTATTCAATGGCTTTGATAATAATTACACGCTTCGTTTGGTATACGCTTCTTGTACATATATACAAACATACACATAGAGACGCTCTGCTCGGGCTTTAACGAGCCCCATACAGTGTCGGCTCTTTTTTTTTTTTTTTTTTTTTTTTTTTTTTTTTTTTTTTTTTTTTTNAAAAAAAGTACATAAATATATATTTTTTTTTCCAAACCCCACCACCATTACCCATTAGGAGTAGAGAACAGCTCAGCCGAAGAGGACTACCTGGAGCAATGCTGCGAGCAGGGAACCCGATGGGCCGAGCAAAAGTTGCGGTGCGAAAAATTCGCCGGAGCCGTGCCGGGTGTGCCCCGCGACCAGCAGCCATCGTGCTTCGAAGCCGTGGACATTTGTTGCCGCAAGGCTTTTCAGGATATGGAGTGCGAGCTGGGAAAGCAGGACGCCAGAGCCGGTAGAGTTTGCCAAGGGGCGGACGGCGAGATCAGAACCAGGCGCTCGGCTCTGGGAGTCGGTGATTTTCGCCACGACTGCTGCGAGGGGTGCAAGCTCGGTAGGTTTTTTTTTTCCCCATCTAGTATCCGTTTATACATTATTTGCCCAATCGTCATTGGTCTGCGTTGGATTTTTTTTTTTTTCCTCTAAATATTTTGTTGTTTCAAGTTTTTACTGGGCGCTGCGTTGCTAGAAGTAATAGAAAAAAAAACAACAACAATTTTGGCACCAATAATGTACTACATTTTTAGTGAAAACATTACAGTGCAAATAAAAATTAAAACTCCGATTATAAGATGTTACTTGGAAGCGGGGGTGTATGTATGTAACACATGTAAATCACTTTGTAATCCTGTTCCTTGACTTTGTCGGTGATTTTAACGAGCTTTTATTATCGTCAATTTTTTTTTCCACGTGATGTACTAGATGGGCAAAAACCACAGAGGTCAACACTTACTCCACTCGAAGAAATTGTTTTATTTTTTTATTTTTTAACTCGTAAAAAATGAAATTAAATAGGCATAGCAAGCGCCTCGAGCGGCAAGGCATGCGCTCGCAAAAAATTCAGCCTAGGCCCCGCGTGGGACCCGTCATTCATGGAGTGCTGCAACGACGCCAAGACCAGCAGCTCTGCTGGCACCACCACCATTTCGACAAGTACCTCCGTGGCTACGGAGTTCGACTACTACGACGACGGCAGCGACAACTCGACCTCGACATCTACCTTTGATTCTGGTAAGGATGCACAGAAAAGCTCCCGAGACTTTGCATTCGTGCTAAATGGCACTTGGCTCGTGTTTTAAAAATCTTGAGAGCAAAATGTTTTGAAAAACGTAACAGGTATCATCCGCTTTTTTTTGTTTGTTTTATTTTTATTATTATCCCCGAGAGTTGAAACGAAATGGCTCGGTGGGTGGCCACTTTATTGAAGAAATATATACGCAACAGGGAAAATCGGTATACACACCATTCTTGAACTGCCAATGAATAAACAGTAACAACTGCTATATTGGAAAAAAAAATCACTGTCTACGATTTCGCGAATCAGATGACCTGTGCAAGCTCCTGAAGGGCCTGCTGTGCTCGGAGATTTGCGTACCCACCCGGGGCTCGTACTACTGCAAATGCCACGAGGGCTCGATCCTGCAACAAGACGGGCGCACGTGCGTGTCCAACACGACGACGATCCGACCTACGACCAAGACGACGAAGAAACTCGCCCGAGTATCCAGTTATGGGAAAAAAACGACACTGACCATCGGGAAAAAATCGACGTTGCCGTTGACGGGCGGTGGCCCAGCGAAACCAAGGACGACCCGATCGCTGCCCATCGAGGACAACGAACTCAATCTGCCCTGCCCGTCCGGGTACCGATTCAACGCAACCGACGACTCGTGCAACGGTAATTAAACCAAAACATACGTACAATGTATCGTATACCATGTGTGTGCCTGTGTGTACACTATCCCTGTGTTATATTAACACGCTTGCCTCCTCGAGAGGGGAAACATCGTTGTCTTTCAACGCCCCCATCAGCTTGCCTACGAATGCGCGTTTCTACGCACGTAACACATACGTCAAATGCAGCGACGATTTACTTGATGCTTGCACGGTTCGAGTCTCGAACCACCAGACGGTCATATGAAGCCAACACCTCGCGAATGTGAATGGATTTTTTTTTTTTTTTTTTTTTCGACCACTTTGCTAGCTGCGATCGGTATTTTCTTGCTTACCGATCTCCTACGCCGACTAACGCTCTGTTTGCTTGTAAACTACTAATATACCAAAATGAATTCGCTAAACTCGCGGCCATTGAGGTGATTTTTCAGTGACATAGTTCTGTCAAACTAACCAAAAGAGAGAAGCAAAAAAACAATTACATAGCAAAACTCGGTTCCTCAAGCATGGCTTTGATGAAAAAAAAAAAAAAAAAAAAAAATGTACCGTGTGACGGCTCTCTGCGCCACTGCCTTTGTATACACTTTCCGCCGCGCTCTTTTCTCTCCATCTCCGGTATCATTGTCCTGACATCACTGCTGGTGTTGCTGATGCCCCGCCACACGTACACCGGGGAGCAGACGTCGACGAGTGCCTCGAGAGCACCAGGCCGGGTGCCCCGTGTCCCGCGGCGAGCGAGTGCCTCAACACCAACGGCTCGTACAGGTGCCTCGGGAGCGGATCGCCAGCCCCGTCGGTGCGGGGCGAGGCCGGCGGCTGCGACCTCGGCTACAGCTGGAACGCAACCCTGGAACGGTGCGTCGGTGAGTTTTTGGGCATACATCTGTTTCGAGCTTTCGGGACTTTTCTCCCATACGATTGACGTACAAGACAATAATACAACACATTTTATATAATATACTCGTCGACCTGTGCGCTTTCGTACTTTTTACTCATCACATTGGGATCTGCAATTTCAAGATTTGTTCGGTGTAATGTTGAACGTGTAGCCATACCATTTGTTTTGGTACTTGTTGATGGCTGGGGTGAACAATAATTGCTAAAACTTTACTACCAATGAATTCTCATGAAATATCATCATAACGATAACGATCTCAAGCTTTGTTTGTCGTTAATTTTTACCAAACTTATAGCCAACTTTGGATCAATTTTCGAGAGTATAGAAAATATTCAATTATGGTTTTGAAAAAAAAAAAAAAAAAAAAAAAACGTTTGATTGTTGGTTAAGATGTGGACGAGTGCTTGGAAAACAGTCACAAATGCCTGACAGAGTCGGAAACGTGCATAAATTTGGAGGGATCTTACGAATGCGAGATTAAATGTGAGCGGGGATTCGTTTTCAACGGCATTTTCGGAGCTTGTCTCGGTAAGCCAAACATTATTGCGCTTGTTTTATGCACGACAAAATAACAATGGTGAAGTTATGATCATTACAATATCTAACGATACATATATGGAACATGCACGAATAAATTTTATAGATTGAAAATGTTTGACGCAACGGCACTGGTGAATCCGTGTCTTTCGGGGACTCTTGCGTGGTTTGCTTTCTGAATTCTTAAACGCAAAGTTTGGAAGTATACACCTAATATTAAAACGTTTATAAATTTACACAACAATGTATTTTCGCATAATGGATATTAGTGTTGATTTTTCCACTAACCAGTAATATTGTCTCACAGCAATGATCATCACTTGACAGAGAACTTGCATGTATCCAGATGAAGTATTTATCAAATAATAATAATAATTGTAATAATACTTTTAATTACTACAGTAACCTTCAGATGAATGCATGTATCAGCTTATTTTCGTTAATTTTTCGAGTATGGATTGAATAAAAAAAAATCTATACTTACTTGTGTTACTTAAGATTTTATGCAAAACCGATTTCATACGATTGTGACGTAAAAAATTTATCATTCGTAATATTTATTTACGCAATGAATTTCAGCCCGAGATAGATTGGTTCGTGTGCGGTGCACGAATATGATCCCGCGCGAGTTGCGCACATTTTACGTAATAGCGTGTTGAAAATACCGATTTTTCGAGGAAGTATCCGAGAAATTGGTATTTTCCACAAGTTGTTGTAAAGGAGGCATTTAATTTAATATAAATTTTACGTTATTAAATTGTTATTTACCATACGCACTGCAAAGAGTAGTTTACGTTGCTTACTTATTATTTTATTGTGAATACCTGTATACGAAATTCGCATTGATGGTGTATCAACATTCGAGAGTCTTGTACTAAAAAAATCGGTTGGGATATTTTCATACATATTGATGAGTTGTATTCCATCTAATGAGTCTATAAAATTTTTGAATGGGAATACGTGATAAAGTAACAAAATAATTGAGATTCGATGAAAATTTTTTTTTTTAGAAGCTCTAGAGTCACAACTTATGTCTGTAAAATTCAAAATGTTGTAAAACAATGATTTAGAAACCAAGCCGGTTCCCTAATTTTTGTTTTTTTTTGTTTTTTTAACCTTGAGCTCATCAAGGAATCTATGTAGTAATTAATCGATCCATATCCGTGTAAAGTTAAAAAACAATAACCGTCAACCTGTTCCCGCTTCAGACATCAACGAGTGCGAGGAGCTGATAAACATATGTCCGCAACTCGACACTATTTGCATCAACACACTCGGAGGCTTCGAGTGCCGAAGTCTCCAATTGTACGGTGAGCCGAACTACGTTGGTAACGGCTCTGACGAAAGACGACCAGGCGATTATGAAAGCATCGACGAAGGAGGTTAGCGATACTGTAAAATATATAATACGATATACACGATACGCTAAAGTGGTCACGAGTTTGATTTAAAATCAGGAAGATTCGACGGTGATTCACGAGTAAGAATCGCCGCACAAAACCTTGTCCCTAATGGCCCTGGCTCCGAAATCCAGGGAATAATCATAGACGTGTTACTTAAAATTTGAAAAGCTCGAGGTATATGTTGTATTGGCCACGGTGAACTGTACAGTAAAACTGTTAACTCGGCAGACATCGACGAGTGCCAGGTGCACCAGCAGCCTTGCGCATCGGGGGAGATATGTCGCAACACCCCAGGGGGCTACGACTGCATACCAGCTGGTTGTCCCCGTGGCTTCGACCAAGTGGGCGACTTTTGCCAGGACATTGACGAGTGCGAGTTGAACCTGCACGCGTGCGCCCCGTACGAGCGCTGCCAGAACACCAATGGCTCCTTCACGTGCGAGTCCCCGCGGCCTACCCGACCACTCAGCACTACCGAACCCACCAAGATCCTTTGTCGCAAGGGCTTCAAGGTAGATTTTTTTTTTTTTTTTTTTTTTTTTTTTTTTTTTTTTTTTTTCCCTTTGGCAACCAAAAAGTTACGAAGGAAAAGGAAAAAAAATCTATTCTCCAAACTTTTCTAAAGCTAGACAACGAAACGGACAACTGCGTCGACGTGGACGAGTGCGTCGAGGGTCCCGGATGCAGGGATCACGAGAGATGCCGGAACACGCTCGGTAGCTACGATTGCTCGCCTCTGTGCGGGCCAGGCTGGTACTTCAATTTGAAGACGAAAACGTGTCAAGATGTCGACGAGTGCCTACTAGGGCATCACAACTGCCGACAGGTGGGTCCTTGAATCAACTACTTTACGAGTTCGTTTCTAAGCATTTCGTTTTACGCGTTACCGATCGCTAAAAAAACTCTGCAGTTTATTAAGTGAAAAAAATCACGCCAAACTTTATATTAAAATTACATTCGTGCAAACGTCCCTTTTCGGAAAAAAAAAAAAAAAACTGTACATACCATCCTCCCTTTATCAAATAGACACGAATTACTCTTTTCACCCTATTTTAAAATAACAATAATAATAATAATATTAAATACACATTAATGTGTATCGACCTTGTATGTAGTTTTTAGTCATGATGGTTGGGAGAAAAAAAAAANAAAAAAAAAAAAAAAAAAAAAACAACAACTTTTTGCCATCTCCGTACGTAGCGCACCCAATACTGTCGCAACACGAACGGGTCTTACGTGTGCGAGCCCCTGACCGCCTGCGCCTCGGGTTACCGTCGCATTCACGATGGCAGCTGCGTGGACGTCGACGAGTGCCTCGAAGGATCGCACACTTGCTCGCCCTTGTCGCATCGTTACTGCGTGAACCGCGAGGGTGGCTACGAGTGCATAACCCGGCTGCCCTCGTGCTCGCGTGGCTTCGAGTACTCCCTGCTGACCCGCGACTGCGAGGACGTCGACGAGTGCCGCGGGGGCACCGCCACCTGCGATCCGCGGCTCAACGAACAATGCATCAATCTTCCGGGGAGCTACAAGTGCGAGAGACGACTACCGGACATCCCCTCTCGGAGGCTAAAGAAGAGACCTGCTTGTCCGGCCGGGTACACTTACGACGCGGCGCTGAGGAAGTGCTCCGGTAAGGGAGCCGGTGCAGGCGCTGAGCTGCGCGGATGATTGTTGAGACTCATTCTTGTGATTTATTATTTCGATGGACGAGGGGAAAAGATATACTCAGGAAGATTTTTCATTTTTTTTTTCATCCATCCAAAATTTATCGAATTCGTCTTTGTTAACCAAATTGATAAGCCTTTTTTTTTCCTCGTTTGTTACATACGCGTTCGGTTTACGTATATGAGTAATCGTTGCAAACATGTGTGAATATACACGTGCTTTTATCCATTGCTCCTTCAATCTTTGATTTCATGATCCATTTTCGTATTTGTCAAACAAGTTTTTTTTTTTTTTTTTCTCAACTACTTTGCTTACTTCAAAGTACTACTTATAAGTGGATGGTCCTTTTAACGTGGGTCTACGCTATAATTATGAAAATGATGGAGTTTTATGTATAAACAATACTATTACCTTCATTATTTTTCTAATTAAACCTTAGACTTTTTACACTTTTATAATCCACATCTATTATAGAGTTAATAGTTTTTTTTTTAATGCGAATGAATGATAAATTTCATACTTAATTACTTTTTATGCTCAGGTTAAAACATTATTCATCATATAATTTATTTTCTACTTTCATTATACAAAAAAATGTTAAGTATAATTGTTGTAACTATACCATGTATTGGTCGGTATAATGTGTGGTGTAACATTTTACCATTTGTATATTTATTATATATGATGCGATTGAAATATTATTAAGGAAAATTTTCTTGTTTTCGAATATAGTATAGAAAATGTTGAATAAATAAAAACCATCATCAATCCGTTTGATCTTATTTGCCTTAAAGAGGTCTAGAAAATAATTTTCACGAGACTTTACGCAACAGTTTTTTTGTTTCAGAACCAAAAAGAAATTTAGAACAATTTAAAAAGATTTTTCTCGACGCTTTATATTACTTTGACAAAAAATGTAATGGCGTCACGCAGTTTCCTTTGTTCATAAAAAATTAACTTTATTTTTTCCCAATCAGTATCATAGCTATTAGTAAAATTTCTAGCCGCAACGTAATCATCGAATTCCTCAAAGGTACAAAAATCAAGTTTTTAAACAAATTTTACAGTTTTTCAGATTTAACAAACACAACGATTTACTTTCAGCACAGAGCCCCCTGCCCCTCCCACAAAGAGCTTCGTTTCACGCTTTCGCACAATTAACCGCAACTTTTCCCTGATTTGTTCAAAATATCTGCTTGCGAGTGGTCGCACCCTCGTGTATAAAAATCACTTGCTCACGCTTCCATTAATCAACGCTCTCCCTTATCTCCCTAAAATTCCCTGAAAGCCCACGCTTGATAAATTTCCGCTACATTTCGCACAACCAATGCCATGCGTTTGATGCACACCACTAAGCGCGCACTCTATAACAGACCCGCTTTTTGTGCATACCCTTACCAGTTGCTTTTGTTATTTCCAACAACATTTGTGGATCTCTTACGTAAATATTCTTTTTGTTCACCACGACAGACATCGACGAATGCGCGGAAGGCAGTCACAACTGCGGTGAACAACAGTGTTACAATCTGCCGGGCAGCTTTCAGTGCGCCAAGGCGCCGCTTCCGGTGACCAGGCGGAGATCGAGTACGACCAAGCAAGAACCATCGAGTCCTCCCGCTGTGCCGGTAAAGTGCAACGTGGGCTATAGGTAAACGTCTTTTTAGTTAATTCATACAACCGTCGTATTACAATGACGACTTTGGGGTAATTTCGACATTTGAATAACCATTGAAACACAACCGATTTTGTACTGTTCAGTACAAATTTAGAATAAAAGTCCCTGGCGATCCACTGCAAAAACTAACACAAAGGCTCCTTGTTAAATCCCCCTCAGATACGAAAAATCGCGAAACGGTTGCGTGGACACGGACGAGTGCACGGAGTCAACGGACACGTGCAGCAGCAGCAGCGAGGAGTGCGTCAACACCCCGGGGTCGTACAGCTGCGCGTGCAGGCCGGGCTTCCGCCGGGACGAATCGACGGGCGGGTGCGTCGACGTGAATGAGTGCCTACTGCACAACGATTGCCTGATCGGCCAGCGCTGCGACAACACGATCGGCAGCTACGCGTGCGTCAGGTTTCTACCCTGCGGCACCGGTTACACCCTCAACGCCGCGACCGAAATCTGCGAGGACGACAACGAGTGCGTCCTCAACACCCACGACTGCGGCTCGGGTTACCACTGCAGGAACACCCTGGGCAGTTACAGGTGCGACAGGAACAGGCCGGGTGGCGCGACCCCGAGGAGGACCCAAGTACCGATCACCACCACCACCCACCGGTAACACTTACTCACACATCTCTTGTTCTTGTTGCTGATAGCCTTTGCAAGTGTGTATACATATATATATATATACCATCGAGTGTGTCGTTCGTAGGGCTATCAATGCGACGTCCGCCACACCGAAGCCGAGCGTCACGACTACGAGTAAGCCCAGCACGAGTACGGTCGGGATGAAGTTTGTGCCCAAGACGTCGACTCAAGCCACAACAACGAGCAAAAAACCCGATCTGGCGCCGACGAGTACTACCGAGGTGGTGCCGACGGTCGGCACTTTGGTCACTTCGGACTCTTGGAAGTCCAAGGTTACCGTCACGAGGTGATAATATATATTCCAAGGTTTTTTTTTTTTCCCCGTTGATTGTCGTGTTTTCGCCAATCGTAGTCCATACGATGGTTTTGTTGTACGTGCAGACCGAGAACCAATTGTCCGCGAGGCTTCGAGGCCGGCGCCCTTGGACAGTGCATCGACGTAGACGAGTGCCGTCGTAATGTGAAGATGTGCGGCAACCAGCGCTGCATCAATACTCTCGGCTCCTTCAGGTTCGCTTGGCTCCAACTCGATGATTACAACCAAACACGCATAGTCCAGGTATGAACAAATACATTTTTGTTTTTTTGTTTTCAAGGTGCGAGTCGAAAACGTTGTGCGGCATCGGTTACGCGCCCGATCGGGTGACCGGCCACTGCGTCGACGTCAACGAGTGCGCCGAGGGCGTGCACAAGTGTGGGCCCGAACAAACGTGCGAAAACCGGCCAGGTGAATACGTCTGCTACTGCCCACCAGGTTTGTTACTCGAAACTAAATGAAAAAACAAAAAACAACCTCCATCTCGTAAATATGTTCCACAATGGGTGGGAAATTAAAATGCCCTCAGGCCACGAAGTGAGCGGCAGCTACAACTGCGTGGACGTAAACGAGTGCAAGCGGCTGCCTGGTCTATGCGGCAACAGCGGCCACTGCGTAAACACCCCGGGCTCGTACACCTGCACCTGCAAGCCGGGCTTCAAAAACGAGCCCGGGCGTCCCGGTTGCGCCGACGTTGACGAGTGTCACTCGACTCCCGGTGTCTGCCAGCAAGAGTGCTACAACACCTTCGGCGGCTACCGGTGCGAGTGTCGCTTTGGCTACAACCTCAGGCCCGACAACCGGACCTGCGAGGACGTCGACGAGTGCACCGAGTTCAAGGACCACAATCTTTGCATCGGCATATGCGACAACACCCCCGGGAGCTATGCGTGCAAGTGCCCCGAGGGATACAGGCTCGGGGACGACGGACGCACGTGCATGGGTAAGTGCTCTTTTTTTTTTTTTTCTTCTTCTTCCTTCTATAAAAATACAGCGCGTAGTTTGAGCTGTAACGTGATACGCTCGCAACATTTTTCACGGGGCTCCCAGATCTGATAATTTTTTAAAGGAGCATAAAATACCCAGTTTCACACGAAACTCGTGTCTAAATGTCCATCTTACGAATAATCCGATGGTTTCGCTCCTCGTATAGATATCGACGAGTGTTCGACCGGTAACGTGTGCCGGCACCCCGACGACATCTGCATGAACCTCAAAGGTGGCTTCAGATGCAACAGAATCGACTGTCCGCCCGGCTACGTCCGCGACCACCAAAGACTCAAGTACGCCCTTTTTTTCCATTTTTTGCCATTTTGGGTATATTTCAAAGACTTTCATGCCTTTGCAGCCGGTGCATGCGCGAAAATCTCCACTGCCCATTGACCGACCACGCGTGCATCCAGCGCCCGGTGCACTACACCTACAACTACATCGGCATTGTGTCCATGTACCCGATCCCCGTGACAACGGGCCAAGTCGAGCTGTTCACGATGCGGGGCTCGTACAGCGTGCCCAACTCCTCGATTCGTTTCGGCATGGCCCTGATAAACGCCCGAGCCCCACCGAACGTCCTGCTGGCCACCGAGGCGTGCTTCGCCCTGCGCCAGCCGTTCCACTCCCAGGCCGTCCTCGTGATCACCAAGAGCCTGCAGGGACCCCAGGACATCGAGCTCGAGCTGTCCATGGAGATCTACGGGCCCAACAACGCCCTCGCCGGTAGCGCCGTCGCCAAGATCTACATCATCGTCACGCAGTACGAGTACTGAGACTGCGTTTCGCCCGGGGATAACAGTGTCATTGATTTCAGGCGATTTGTACGATTGCATGTGGAAATCTATACGAGCTTCGCGTTGTAGGAGGAAAAAAAAATTAAAAATTAAAAATAATAATGTGTTTTGTACAAAAAGCACAAGTTGTACTTTTTTTTCGAGTTCTGCGAGCTTCGTGCGTCACGTATTTTTTCCTAAAGTAACGAATGTAACGGTTGGACGTTTTTGAATTACCTTTTTGGGACTAAAACCACGCAAAATCTGTGTGTACCGTTTGTCAAGGATTTTATTTTATTTATTTATTGATCCAACTCGTCAAGTATAACGTAATTTTCTTCGAAATAGTATTTTATCGAATAAGCTCTTGAAATATAATATATGTATTTAAACAATTTCTTTTAAGAATAAATAATTTCATCTTGTATCCATTGATAACATGTGAGTGTATGTAAAATTAAATTAAAACGAAATACAGTATTTAAAAAAAAAAAATATTTTTCTTACATATAATTACTGATATTCAAATAATTTTGTCACTTTAGTTGATAGAAAAAAAGATAGCCCGAATGGAAATAATATCATTAAAATAATTACAAATCTCGTACATTACTTATTCCACACACCCGTCGGTCCTGTACAAACATGTGCGTATGTGTAATCACTTGTGATATCTTAATAATAAAATTTGCATTGTACTTATCTAATTCAGAGATTTTTATTTTTCCAATGAACAAAAAAAATTTAGCGCCGGAAAAAAAGTTTCCTCACTCAAATGAATTACACATTTTTTGCAGCTGTCATTGGCGTCAGTTAATTTTCCTCGCAGATCTTTTTTTTCGTGCAGTCCGGTGTGAGATGAAAAACTTCATGTTTTACTTCTATGTGCAAAAGAGTTATCTTTCGCGATTTTCTGTATTCTCCATATTGAATTAAAATTCTTATCGGAAATCCGAGCTATAGCTAAATTGAAATATCAACACCTCATCATGCACTTCTCGTCCATAAGATTTGTATATGTTACTCTTTAATATAGGTAATGCTGAATTTTTTATTTTCAGGTCGAAGATTCTTCGTTTTCACCAAATTGAATTTCAACCTTGGATTTTTATTTATTTTTAAATAATATTAATTTTCGACTATACGTATTGCAAAAACCAATAGAAAATCACTCAAGCTTGTACCAATGAAAGACGTGACTCGGTAAAAAAATAACACGCATACACTTGATTTTCCGACTTGTTTATAATTTCTAGTTTGCTGAATAAACGCCAAGTAAGTATTCGGAAGAATTTATAATGAAGACAGTATGTGCGAGGCAGCGGTACGACTACACTCGCTTCGATAAGCTTGTGACTTTTTTAATGCTTTCGAAAAGAATACGCTTTTAAGAGAACACTTGATTGCAATTTTTTTTAACAAGTGAACATTTTGGTAGATATTTTTATCTTAGTATGAAAAAAAAATAGTGACAGTGACTTCGTATGAGTAAAATTGTGTTTGATGAACATAAAAAGGGTGAATTTTCAAAATCAAATAAGATATCTTTAACAGCACAACTATGAAAGCTAAGGTATACAGTGACTCAAAACTCACCGATAAGGTTACTACAATTAATTTCTTACAATAATAATTTAAATTGTTTATGGTGCCCGAATCAAAAAGATATTCTCCATTTGCTTGACGTTGCTGTGTGCACAAGGTTTAGCATATGCAGATGACGTTACTGAAAACATGCGAGAAAAATTAGGTAACAGGGTTTTGAAATCAAGTTCGTCCGATTTGGAAAGGAAACAAATTGTAAGTATTTACTGATTATTAATTGGATTTTTTTTTACAATTTCAGCGATTGCTGCTTATTTTGTGGTTGAAAATAATTTTACAATTTTATAAAACCATCTTTGTGTGAAGAAATAATTTTTTAAGCTATTACAACTATTAAATTTTATTTGGCTGATTTACGAGAATTTTCAAACGATAAGAGACTAAAACGTGATAGTAATAAAAAAATAAAAAAAGTTACTATCTATACTTTTTAACTCAAGTTTTTATTTTCAATTTGTCAATCGATGTAATTATTTTTTTGTAAAAATGACTTGTATGAATTATTCCTTTCAAATGAATCAAATTCTATTGGATACATCTTTTACAAATCCGCGAATTAAATTAAACGCTAATGCCTACTATGTCAGCGAATACCAACGTGCTATACTTGTATTAAAATTAACTTTGGATACACGTACAATAAGCTTTTAAATAACCACTATTTAACCAGATATTTTGCTGATTTCTAAACTTCTACACAAATTTGTAAGGAAAAAAAAGCTAAGATAAGTTTTTTTCATGAAAATGATTTTTAAAAAACACATCATTAGCTCGAATTATCGAAATATGTTTGTACGCAAAGGGAAAAAAATAAATATGCGCATCGTGTGTTTTTACGTGCTTATCTACTAAAAAACATGTCCCCGAAGAGTAAGCGGTCGAGATTTTAGAAAAGCAGTACAATAAAAAAAATATACTCGTGTGCACCCTTGAACAAAAACTTGTTGTTTTTTTTTAACCACTGCAAAAAAATTAAAATCTTAACACTAGACTTGTGGATACGTTTTCACCAATCAATTTTTTGTCATTCAATTAAAGATTAAAAAATAAAATTATTTGTATCAGGAATCAAGAGTCGAGCTAAATAACAATTTGCTAGAAACTCATACAGTCACTACTGAGGACGGATATATATTAACCCTAAATCGCATGGCAGGACCTCCTGGATCTGTCCCTGTTTTATTGCAACACGGGCTTTTAGGATGTGCTGAGGAGTGGTTGATCGCTGGAGCTGGAAAATCTCTCCGTATGAACGATTATAAATTTTGATACAACTTACTATTTCACCAATATTGTTTGACATGTACAGTATCCAAGAATATGCATCAAAAATTTACAGCATAAAAACATTGGACATCATGGATAATCATTTTTTCACAACCGATGCTTCGCTTGGAATAAACTTGACTTTTATTTCATAAGTACTCCTTCATATTTAAAAAGTATCAATGGATTTTTTTACTTGATTACGGGTGTCTTTTACAAACACATCAAAGTTTTAATATTTTAGTGAGTATTTTGAATTCAATGTATGAACAAAAAAAAGTCGACTATTTGGTCTCTTAGGTGGATTATGGACATCATTTTTTTTTGTACAGAAAAAAATTGCAAAAATAAAAATAAAAATTTAACTTACGAATGACGCAACAGAGATTATAAAATGTTTGTGCGCCATATTATACGCTCTCATCTTCCGACCTTTTTAATTTTATTATTAGTTTATTTTATTATTATTTTTGTTTTAATTTTAACTGCTTACCTGCAATTGAAAAAGTACTTTAGTTTGTCCAAAGATTGAAAAAACACGAATAATACAGTTAAATTATTTTTTGCTATTATTACGCTAGTGCAAAAAATTTTCTTTGAAAAATTATTGCGACAGTAAAAAAAGCTAACGGCATAAAATAAAATTAAAAAAAAAAAAAACCGTGTTAATAAATTAAGTTTTCGCTTATAGGCCTCTTATATATTTCATTATCAATACGTTATAAAAAGTTATTCATTAAAGTTATCAACATATCTATTACAATTTCAGCTCATATTCTCAACTATCAAGGCTACGACGTTTGGCTGGGAAATATCAGAGGCAGCACATTGTCAAGAAAACACCAAACACTATCTACATCTGATCCACAATTTTGGAATTTCACGTAAAAATAATAAAATCGTATCTACTTGAATGTGTACAGTTATTGAAAGCTAATAAAAATATGTACCACACAGGTGGGTCGAACTTGGACTTTACGATCTTCCAGCAATGATAACGTATATAACGCAACTGAAAAATGATAGCTTATTTTATGTGGGCCATTCTATGGGCGCCACTACTTTTTCTGTAATGTCGATCGAGAAACCGGAAATAGCGAAAAATGTCAAGGCCATGCTGAGTCTTGCCCCCGCAACGTACGTTTATCATATGAAATCTCCCCCCATGAAATTGATGTCTTATTTTTGGAATGCCTTTCTGGTTGGTCAAACGAGTGTGCAATAATTTTATGAAAAATAACCAAAGTGTTACGTGGAACAAATAAATCTTTAAATTAATTTTTCAGAAAGTTTCGCATACGCTTGGTTTCCACGAATTTTTCCCGAGGAATGTTTTCTTTGATAGCTTTTCCTATTACATATGTGAATCTAGGCTGCTAAGGGGCATTTTTTGCAGCAACTCTTTGTTTTTGATTAGTGGTTTTAATTCCAAACAGTTGGACTTTGTGAGTATAAAAATATAATTTCAGCACAAGCAGATATTTACTTTTCACGAGTCTTACGTCTCTTTTGTGTGCATTAGGATTTACTTCCGAAAATTTGGTCATTATTTCCAGCCGGTACATCAATAAAGCTATACACTCATTTCCTACAGCAAGTAACGGTAAATGAACTTAGAAAATTTGACTACGGTGCAGAAAATAATCTGCTAATGTACAACAGTTCTGTACCACCAAACTATGATATTTCTCAAATCCGAGTACCCGTTGCTGTATTTTGGTCGGAAAACGACTGGACGGTTGTCAAAGAGGTAATTGCTACTTATTTTGCCTTACACTCATTAAGAAATAATACTGTTAACGTCTGAACAACTCAGGATTTTTTTTTAATTTACAGGATGTATATCATTTTTATGAACAATTGAGTTTCAAACTAGGAATATACAAGGTTGAAGACAGTTTATTCAATCATTTTGACTTTCTGTGGGGGATGAATGCACCAGAGACTTTGTATGCTAACATGCTCAATGTGATGAATGACTACGAAAAAAAAAAAATTGATTTTGTACACTTAGTTAAATTTTAATAATCACAAATGTGAAATTTCAATGTACATGTATGTAAGTAAATAATCAATAGTTTAGAAAATTATTTTGTGATATAAAAAAGAAAAATACACATAAAGTGAATTTTGCCATTATAAGTTAAAAAATAGATCAATTCATCATTCATTCGAGTTTATTAAACTTGTATCAAGAAGCTGAGAAGTCTATGAAAATGTACAATTATATGTTTGTAGAACCAAAGAAAAATCTAATTTCTTAATATAGGATTTAATTTCTTCAACATCGCTATTTTTATTGAAATTTCAAGCTACATAAAATGAAGTAATTGTATGATTAAATTATACTTTCCAATGATTTCCTTGCGTGGTATTTATTTTTCGTCTTCATGGATACCGTCCATGTGACGTCTCAATGATTCTCTGCGCTCTCTAAGGTCGAAGCTCTCGTATGGAGTGTGGTATCCGTATTGGTAATCCTGTCTTTCTCGCATTCTGCTATAGACCATTTGTTCCAAAATTCTAATTTTTCTTAGCTGATCGGCTTCCCAGACGGCAAAAACCGTTTTTTCATAATCTTTTTGTGGAGTACCGAATATGTAACGAGCAAGGAATCTCGTAATAGGATTCTGAAAGAAATAAGTTTCTCTATTACCTTAAAACGTTATTTTTCAAGAAAAGCCAGTAATAACAGTTGATAAAAAAAGGATATTGAACTAACTTACCCTATAATATTCCCAGAATTCGGGCTCGTAACCTTCTGGGATTGGTGTAAGAGTTGCCGGTCCAACAAACACATTAGCACAAAATGTTATAATACCAAGTGGGATGGCAGCAAGCATGGTATAAAAATGAAAATAGTCTTTTGTTTTGTGCCATTGCCATCTGCTAGCTTGAACGGTAAACGTATGGGACATGCCACGAGTTGGTATCTGTTGAATGGCTGTTGAAAACAAAACATCATACATCATGTGTAGATAAATGTTATGAAAATTGTCTAAAAATATGTTGAGTTTTGAAAAGCGTGACTTAGGATACCGCTTTAATGTGTATACTTATAATTTTGTGCACTATTGTTCTGTCGACAAATGGCAATCCATTCTGCCGGCACTTTGAATACTTTACGTTGCCAAATATAATAAAAACAGATAATAATCAAAGGATTCACAAGTGAACAGTACCAATGGAATAACGTTATGGCTCAAAAAACATGAAACAATGATTTCAAATGTAAACAAAGGTGTATATCCCCCAATAGAGAGCTGTCAACAACTCTGTATAGAACGTAAACGGTGATAAAGGAAAGATTAAGCAAAGCGTAAATTAAGAAGAGCCTTTTTTTTAGAACTATTCTGACAAACTAAACGTCAAACCCTCGCAGATTGAAAGAGATTTTTCTGTAAACGAGCCAAATGACTGCACTGTGGTTACATAACACAAACAACACGGTGTAAAAACGGTATCAAAAGTGTCACGGGTAAACAATTGAACGATACACTGTATGAATGTAAAAAATATTACCGACTTACCGGTTTTAAGCGAATATTTGGGTACGAGGAGCCGAGTGTTTTGAATGTTTTGAGCCGAGCATCGCAACAGCGAGCTAAAAGCCGCCATGATTGCTGAGTGACTGACGGACAGACGACAAAGCCGTATTTGTACCATTTGTGTGCAGGAGCCCAAATTTATCGACCGAGTGACGCGCGAACTGAGCGAAAAAAGAGAACGCAATTTTTTAATTTGAATTTTGAAACTACGAATCGAAGAAAAATATGGGTGGTGCAACGCTGTCGATTTGTATGTGTACTTTTAGCTACGAGAATGAACATTTTCGAAAAAAGTTTTCAACAATGAAGTAAACTATTCCGGCTTAAAAGTAAATCTAAATAATAATAGACGATCAACTGTGTTCGGGACTATTATTTACTCGTTGAAATTAATAACGTTGGACGCGAATAATGAGAAGTAAAATAATTTCCCGAAATGACAATGTCAAGTTGTTTGTTTATCCTGTTCTGGATGTATCAATATAACATGTAACATACAACAAACATTATAGAGATGATAACGAGTATATGATATTAACCCGATTTTTGGTATTTGCAAAACTAAAGTAAAGTATATAATGAAGTAGTTACGCCTATCTGCAGTAAACAATGAAATTTTCCTCCCTCTCGAATAAATTATACTATAGGTAAAATTTGGCCCTAGACAAAATTAAAAGTCCATGCAAAAACCTCCAACTTGCGCGTATATCGCTTGACTCTTTGTACATTTTTTTTTTTTTGTTTTTTTTTACCACCAATATTGAATAACGCCGACAACTCGAAGCTGCGGATGATCGAGTCGTCGACAAATGAAAAAAATACCGCTCATCATCCTACACCGATATTATACTCCTGATGCAAAAAGCGCACATATATCCCGTGCGCGCGCCTCTTTTGCAATCGCATCTCGCATATCATCGTCACATCAGGGCGGGGTGGGGGAGGTAAATTAAAGAGGTGGATTGCACGCATGTACACGTGCACGTGCAAAACGTGCCCCCGACCTTAGGGACCGGTGCCAAGAGCCGAGAGATACAGTGGCACGAGGATCGGGACGATCGGCAGTGCGCGTTTGTTATGCACCTCCGACGCGAATCGGTACTCCGTACCTCCGGTGCACGTACCTTCCCACTAGTTGGCTCATGCCGTTTGGATACTTCTTACACTAGCTGTGTATTACACATCGAGGGTGATCGGCTCCGTACAGCTCATCCCGGAAGGAGAGAGCTTTTTTGCAACTTGCGGTTGGCGCTGCTATGGATGTCCACACGTGAGTCAATTGTAGCTTTCTTTGCGTGTATGCGTCAGTATCGATTGTGCATAGCTTTTTTCCCTGCGAGTCTTTTGGGAAGCTTCGAGGGGAGCCAGATTCAATGGTAGTACACGCATCGCCCTCCAAGAGCGTATCAACGGGCGTTTACCCTCTACTCGTTCTTCAAGTAGATTAGCAGTGGTTTTTCGTGGGTTGTGCTCTGTCATCGTATTGGGATACTCTTTATTTATTTTTTTTTTTTTTTTTGTTCCGCTGCACGCGCGGATGAGTGGAAATCGGTATCGACCAAACAGGTCACTCTCGCTTCGTCTTGAATCTACGTTCCGTGCATGGTTAGGAAATCTTTTTTTTTCTTTTCTTTTTTTTCTTTACCTAATGTAAAAATTGTATGGAAAAAATTTGCCAATGCCTGTGACAATAATACTCTAAATTATCTCATTATATTTAATTGCTAATGTATGATGACAAGAAATAGAAAACGTTGTTTAATATTTTTTAAAAAATTAAGAATTTAAATTAATTTAACCGATTTTTTAGTGATGAAAAAAATTGTGATTTTTAAAATTTATTACATCAGGGAAGGTAATGATTCTCTTACTTTTCAATTGCTAAATAAACACACGAGTTTCTTTTTACATTTCAACGAAATTCATTTAAATCAAAGTGTTTTGCTTACAATAATTAATTACACATTATTTCAAACAAAGCGTTTGATCCCTTAAATATTCAATATCTAACATTCGGTACTTGAAACTTATCTTTAAAATTTTTAAAACGTTTTTCTTTATTTTTAAATTATGTCTACGACGATTCACCAGTTTTAAGAGTCTCGTGGTGCCCCTATGGTATTACTCAATGCCGAGTTACTCTGTTCAATAGTTAACGATACTTTACTGTTACATTTTTTAATTTCGTTGCTTTATTCAGAGAAATTGAATTTAACAATTTATTATAAATAATTTTGTCAAATACATAAATACTGTTTTTTAATTACTTTACTTATATTTGTTGACGAATGACTTGTTGAAAAAATTATGAAACATATTTTTAATGGGTACTTCAACTCTTTTTTAAAATTAAAGTTATATCAAAGACAAAATTTAAAATCATGCAAAATGAAAGAAAACATTTTTTTTATATTGCTAAATTTACTGTAATACTTAGTAGACATTGGTAATTATGATACACATTTCTAACAATTTTCACATGTGTCTAGTCAACGTTTTTTTTTTTGTTTTTTTTTTTTCTTTTTTAAATAATCCAACTAAATGGATGTATGGTGATCCATTTATAAACATAGATCTTGATTGTGTTAATAACGTCACCACCATACTGCGTTTATTGATCGTCTTCGCGGGTTAAGCGATTAATTGAACTTATTTAACTGCCCGAGTATACGACAATTACATATTTACCCTCATCCTCGTGATAGCGCACACAATATCTCAAGACGTGTGTTCTGATCTCCGTTGGCCGTGAAGGTCATATTTTTTAAATTGCATTCAACTAGTTTGAATCAAACAGCCTCGTTTTTCTTAATTTTGACTATTTATTTTCATCACGAGCAACTAGCTCTCAATTTGAAATGTACAAAATTCGAGGTTTCAAGAAATAACTGAAAAAATAAAATTTTACAATATTATACTTGTGAATTGTATTACTCTGTGTAAAAAATATTTATCATGTTTTAAAATTCATTTCTTCACACGCCAAATTATAAAAATTACCATTTCTACCATGTAGATATTAGTGCAAAAGTATACGTGTATTTGAGTTTTACTTGAGTGCCAAGAATGTAAGCATGTCAAATAAATTAAAGTGTTGCGATATAAATAACTGTTTGTGACATCATATATTAAT